ATCTCTCCGAACAATATAATTTGAGGAGGGATGTGACCCTTCCCCCCCCCCCATCGACCAAATCAATTTCGCGAGCGATGTTCTCAGGATGAGAAATTGAGTTAGTTGAAAAGAGAGGGAGGGGTGGGGGGGGGGGAAGCACTTATAACAAACGGATTTTAAGAGACGGGAAGGTAGGAGATAATTGAATTGCAGATCTACAAGCATTTGACTTTCCTTCTTCACCACATTCTGAGCGACTATACTAGCATGTGTGGAAAAGACTGAACTTCATTTAAAAAATAAAATTAATTGAATTATTTCCTAAGATAAGACTGCATCGCAGTGCAACCATGGCAACTGATACCGCAGACTAACACAGCGGTAACGTTTCATCGCCACCTGACAATTTGCTTTTTCTTCTATTTTTTTTAGGTTTAGAGAACAAAACCGATAGAAGGGGCTTGGACTGAAGTCACTGAAATAATAAATATGCTCGTTCGAACCATATTTACCAATGAAATGGGCGTCGATTTTTGTTTCTTCTGTTTTGTTGATGACATGTCGATATCTGCCATCCCTAAATTTTGTTACTATTTAGATTTCCTTTCGGGGAGTAAAGTATAGCACAAAGCAATATAAACAAACGGTACTTAATTTACTGATGATGAAAGTGACGATGATGGTGGTGGTGGTGGAAATTATGACGACGATGATGATGATGGTAGTTGGTGCTAGATAAAACTTTGATATGCTAAACACACACAACAGTTGATATACCTTAATCTCTTCATTACGAGATGATTAAACTACTGTTTATAACAACGGTCAAACAGATGCAACCAGTGGCGGATCCAGTGGGGGGGGGGGGCCGGGCCTCCCCGGAAAAAACGTGTATTTAACCTTTTTGGGGGAGATGGCCCCCCCCCCCCTGGCGCTCAAGGGGGGGGGGGGGTACGATTTTTCAAATTTTTGAGGGCCAAAAAAAAAAAAATTAGTGCTCACTACCCCTAGACTAGTAAAATCTACAGAAAATAAGAAATAAATGTTTTCGTAAAAAAAAGTGAAAGAACTCTTCGAATTGCCTATGAGGCTTAGCCTATATGCGCTCCCATGCATTGAAGATTCATTAAAAAAAAAAATTAATTCGGAAAACGCTCATATACAGTTACCATGATTTGATAGATTGAAATGAAGGCCGTTGAAGAAAGAATAATCAATGTATACAGCTGTAAAAGTATGAAACATTATGTGACTTATTCATGTTACGTTAAACAGTAGTACAGCAGAACCAGGCAAAGACCACATAAAAAGAGACAGTACCTCCACCCGTGAACATAAAACCACGCGCCCAACGATTAAAATGTTACGAAAATAGCTTGAGGCAATATGGAAGGTAAAATTCAGTCAACCTGTTCGATTCTGTCCGATAGGGACCTTGCCTTGTCAGCCCTGACATAATGGGTGCCTTGAAGAATCATGCGAACCCCAGCTCTACTTTTATTTCCAGAGATATTGCCCGCTGTATAACCTGTTTTACTTTACCGTAGACTATATAAATAGAATGGTCACGGGTGTGTGATACCAGGGCTTGTAATAAATGGATTCCGCATCTAAGAGGGCCCTTTGAAGCAGTCCGTTGCACCGAGAGTCTTTTTTCCCCTATCATAATCCCGTTAATCCCCCACCCGGACCGCACAGCTCGTAAATCTCACTCCCGAAACTGAGTGACATAGGGCTCGCGAAATGCATTGTTGGAAATACACATCGGCTGCTATCGACAAAAATGGCGGCGTACAGTAGGGAAGAGTATTTGGTAGGCGACGATTTAGACTTTCTGACTGATTTTGAGGAAGATTTTCTTGAGCCTGGTGTATGGGAAGTTGGAGACCAATACAAGTTATGCACGTGTGAAATTCCATCAACGGAAAATCTTATTCGTTGCAGCGAACCAGAATGTACGGTTAAATGGTTTCATCGTGAATGCGTAGGCCGCTCCATGTAAATAGGCAGCATTTGAATACATGAATAGTCAATACACTCACAACATACAGTACAAATGCACATAATCATCCCGATGCGGTTGATCGGCAAGTTTGACAGTAGAGTAAAGTACCCGGTAATCGGTCAGCTCCGGTTTTCGGCCAATTGGTTGGATACATGGTAAAATCACTTTAAAATACATCGCATAATAGCATAACACATATCCCACACATACCATACCATGCCAGTGTCACTGAAGAACCACATTTGCAATGAAAAATATATCCTAAAATATCACATTTTAGCGATGTAATCGGCGGTCCCGCTACCCAAATCTGAAAAATCGAGTTTCTTACGCGTGTATGTAAGAAATATGGGTACCATAAAATGAGCTTTATTTCAAGTATTTTTCAGATATAGAGCCCAATTTTGTGCTGGTCGCAAGCTCAAAAGTATCTCATCGCATGTATTAAATCAATGCAGCCGCACACCGCGACGCACACACGATATGTCTGTCTAATTCAGATTCCAACTTCCGATCACCGCTGTGCCTGTATTCGGCCAGGCGAGCACCCGGGAGCTCCGGCGTGGGATACCTGCTCCGCCCGCTCGTGCTATACGTCAGCGCATAAACGCACGGCGCGCGCGAGCGCTTCCTATTGACTTTGTACATGCGGCCGTAAACTGACACGCTCGGCCGATAACCGGCTCCAAAACAGTGAAAATTGAAATGAATATTGTCATGGCAATTCGTGATTTTTTTTTGGGATTCTTTTTTTGTTTAAATAATAATAATATTTGCTTCATGATTTGAACAAGAAATGATAATAAATAGGAAGTAAAGAGTCCAATAAATAGGATTTTGTCTTAAGTGGCCGAAAACCGGGTACTTTACTCTAGACTCACAATTTTAATTTTTAACTTATTCTTTCTAACATCAGAAAGTTGAACAAATTGTATTTTAATGCTCTTTAGGTGTCATCAATCATCACTATAGTACTGCCTTTGAATGAAATCAGTTGAGTTTTGTACAGTGGTGTTTGAAATGTTGAGAATCAATAGCACAACTTTCAATACACGGCCAGGGTAGAAATGCAGCTATGTGTGTTTCCACCAACAACATCCAGCATGTACAGCCCAGCGAGCACGGCGGCTTTCGCGTCGCCGGCGCCGGCCCGTACTCGGGGTGAAAAGTGGTGATGAATTGACAACTTCTAACCCTCATTAAACCAAATGCGCAATTATACAACACAGTTTCATTTAGTTATTTTAAGAGATAAACTTATGGACTACCTTCCTAGCTATGTAAAAATTTCGGAAACTTTCGGAAAATGTCAATAATTAGAAGAGAACGTGATGATGATGAGAAACTTGCATTCACTCTAACTCACGATTTCCTTGGTCGATTTCGCTGGTTCAGATGGCTACGTCTTCAGAAGAGTTATCCGAGCACAGCGAAAGCATTTGATAACCAATAGCAGGTTGCCTTGTGCCATAAGTTGTCGATTTTGTATTTTTGTCTGTTATAGCTATATACATCTTCAATGAGTATGACGTCATTTTCTCGGTGACTCGCATGGCTTCAAAGCCTTTTTTTTACGACCAAGTGTTTGGAGAGCTTAGGGAAGCAGGCCGCGTTGCGTAACACTTCGTAACATTTGGATCGCCAGAGGGCATCTGTGGTCTGATAAGGGCGGCTGTTGATGGATTTGATGGCTGAAGAGGGTTACATTACTTGTTGTTAAGCCAAGTTAATCTTGAATATCTTTCCCTCGGGAAATTCTTTCGAGACGCAATCTCCATAGTCTCACCTCCCTGGTGATACTATGGATGTAATACCTTGAACGTTAATTCATGTCAACTATCAAGCAGAGGGTGTAGTTGTGTCTTGTGTCTATTTCTAGTTTTAAATTCTAAATCCAATTTCCTTTTCTTACACGTGATAAGCAAGAAATATTCCGAAACACGACAAGGTGACATTTTTTCCCCTGGAAAAATCCGCTTATATTTTGGTTCTTCTAAGAATTTAGAAAGATTTACTCGCCTTAGTATGTTGAAATTTTATCCAAAAAAAGGAAAAAGAAGATAGTTCAAGCATTTCAAAAAGTACAATTAGAGCTGAACCTACACGTACTCGTAGCGCTAGGATAGTGAAACAGCTTACTTTGTTTATTATTTAGCTTGTTAATAGATTGCATTATACTTATACATTTATTATTGTCACTATCTACATTGTACATGTATATAAAATTATATATACTTTGTGTTTACTAGTTGGTTCATTGTTCATGTTTGTACTTTCATACACTATATACCTATTATCGTTTGTATCTTTGTGTCATTATCTGTGTATTCATAAGTCATGCATTGCTATTTATACTTTTATGTTTGTTTGTACTCTCATACCCCTGAGAGGGGGGGGGGGGGGTGTCAAAGAGTCAATAACATTCTAAATTCTAATGTATTAGCAAATATTTATACCTACGGCAAATAGGTTAAGAAAGTTCTTTACCTATTCGCCGTAGTCATACATGAAGTTATGTGGACCAACTGATGAACATGGTCAAAGTTTTAAGGACAAATTAGGTATAGGAAACGAATGCAAACATTTCCAATTTGCATCTTATAATTCAATTTCCCTTTTAAAATGAAAGTCTGATTAATTCATATTACATTATACAAAGGAATGATAAAATTGATTTTATTCGAAGGATATTAGGTTAGTCGTACTGCTGGTTCAGTATTTCCAAAAAATAATAAACCATTAGGATTTGGAAGAATGCCTGGTTCCGAGTTGAAGGATTTATGTGCAATGGGTTATAATCCTATATCATTTTCATTAAAAGCTCTAAGGCTATTTCTTTCAATTTGATGATAATAATAATAATAATACAAATAGTTGGTTCTTGTATAGCACTGAAATCTATCAGATGTGACACTCCAAGTGCTATATAATGTATTCAATGTTTTTAGATACAGTTTATATTCTCATCTGAAATTATATCAAATATTGTCTTATCTATTTTCACAGCAAATTATCAAGACTTTGACTGAGGAGGATATTGAACCATCGTAGAATCGTGTGAGGTTTAGAGTGATTCAGAAGATACGTCAAGATGACTTCAGTAGTGATGGAAACCAAAGAGCAACCATCGGCACCACACCCAGGACCCCACCCAGGACCACACCCAGGTCCAGGAAGCACCAGGACTCGACCCCCATCCTATGAATTCGATACACCCCTCACTGCTCGAGATACTGAAGGTGACGATACATCATCTACTGGTATATCTATTAGGGTAAGTGACTTGGTTTGGTGCAGGGAAGAATGGGTGTGGTAAGATGTGTACCCCTGCTTAAGCATGTTGAAGAGCTGATCAGAGAGGATCATCTTCATGTATTGGTATATCTATGAGGCTAGGTACCTTGGTGCGGGTAAAGAATAGGTGGGGGTAATAACTGTACCCCTGCTCGAGATCCTGAAAGCGAGGATACGTCATCTACTGGTTTATCTAGGGTAATGAGCAGTAATGGAAGAATAGATGGGACAATAAGTATACCCTTGCTTGAAGAGCTATTAAAGCCGATGATACTAAGAAAAAATGGTGCAACTATGCACCTTTAGGGGTTCAAACCGATGCAACAATAGCAGCACCTTTAGGGGTTAAATCCTGCACCCTTTTTAAAGGTGCGATCCTGCACCCTTCAAAAGGGTGCCAGATTGAACCTTTTTGGGGAAATGTTAGTACCCGTTATGGTTCAATCCTGCACCTTTAGGGGTGCAAACCGATGCAACAATAGCAGCACCTTTAGGGGTTAAATCCTGCACCCTTTAGGAGGGTGCCAGAATGCACCTTTTAGGAGACATGTTAGTACCCTTAATGGTTCAATCCTGCTCCTTTAGGGGTGCAAACCGATGCAATAGCAGCACCTTAAGGGGTTCAATCCTGCACCCTTTAAAAGGTGCAATCCTGCACCCATCATCGAGGAATACTCGTGACATTTGCTCGTACACAAATACGTATTAAACATGTATGATGTTTCTTGGTTAGTAATCATATAATCAATATTTATATATTGCTAAAACGTGAATGTAATTGTAACATGATCAGACAAAATAATATATCGGTTAATGATTGCCGAAGGAAAATACAAATCACAAAATTGATGTGCATTGTCATAATTTAATTAACAAATCATATGATAAATGTATTTTTATGTGAACACGTGGAAAGTAATCATGAATATGCATGCAATATGCAAACTTTTACTTTGCACCTTTTTGGGTCGTTAGGGTTCATTTCTGTGGGAAGGGTGCAAAATCTTATATTGCACCCTATTTTGAACCCCTTTTCCTTCAATAGGGTTCATTTTTATGAAAAGGGTGCAAACTCTTATTTTGCACCCTTTTTTGCACCCTTTTTTCTTAGAGTGTATATGGTTAACAGAACGAATGGAGGGTGAAAAGTATACCTTCTATAAGGGTGATTATTAGTGGGTTTGGTATAATAGTATACGAAGATTGGGTGGGGTAAGAGGAACAGCTCTTGAAAGGCAAGGTACACCATCATGGTAATCTACTGGTATCTTCGCATCATGCCTATAGGATATCACCAGTGAAGGGGTGATGGGGGAGATGAGGTACATGGTGGAGTGTAGGATGTGCTCCCGATTATAAAGAGCGAACTGAAAGTCAGTAAGGCTGTCAAAAATGCATCGATACCATCCTTAATAGATAATTTGATAGAGATAGTTAGTTAATAGAAAAGTGTGAAAAAGCCAATTTAATTACTGGTGGGTAGACGCTAGACAGTGTGAATAGGCTTGACCATCCATGTTTTAAAAGGGGATTCTGGAATGTATGAACAAAAGAGTTTACTAGACAATTTGGACATTGAAGCAGTTTAACCAAATCTTGACAAAATAGCAAAACAGAATATCAGTTTAATAGCGCATCATGTTCCATTCTGGAAGTCTTTCATCGAAACAGGATGTATCATGATATTTGTCGGAGGAAGCCCAAATAACTGTGTCTGTCCCCTTTTAGAAAGATTATGATGAACGTGGCTGAATAAGATATATCAACGTCCAGCATCATAATTCGATTACAGATATATCTATTTAGGGCTATCTGGGATAAAGCGATCAGACTGAAATCTAATATTTTACAATTTGTACTTTTGGAATTCATGCAGGAAACCGTTAACATTTCTCTTTTTCACTTTCTTTCTCATGATATTATTATAATCTGAACATGAAATGGAAAATATAGAAATAAAACGATGACGTGATTGGGTAATAAAATAACAAGAAAGGCAAATGGGGGAAAATAGAATATATAGGAATAAAAATTAAAACAAACTAATAATTGGTACCAAAGAATAAGTAGAAGCAGAAGAAATGAAAGAAGAATTCACCGAACGTAAGACTTGATCATCAGTAGCATGACAGTGTATTACCTTCAATTCATTCCTTTCATCATTTATTCTTGGCGTTTATTATTCCATTCCATCTTTATCCCCTCACGTTCGAACTACACTCAAGTTGGTTTCAGATATCACGGAAAGTCTTCATTATTAGCTGATTGACTCACAGTCTAAGAACCTTAATTGACAGGAGTATTGGTAAAGTCTTTGGCTTCTTAGTAAAAGCTGTCAATCCTAGCCTTGATTGAGAGGTATTTCCCCTATTAGCTCGCTACAAGCTTTTAATGTCCTCCTATGTCTGTTACGGAAACACGATATTTTACAAACATAATACAAAATGCTTAAAAAGATTGTTTCGTCTCGATGACAGATATTTAGAGGACTTTATCTAACTTATTGTATTCAATTCTATCTTCTAGCTATACCTAAAGGAACATCCATTTCATTTATTTTATATTAGATGATGTAGTCTGTAGACCATGAGTGTAACCTTGATCTTTGAAACCGTATCTTTAATGTGTGTATTGCTTTGAAATTCACTGCTATATTTTTCATTGTATCAATATCATATTTGTTACCCTGGCCATTGTCATTGATGATGTGAATAGAATGAGAACATTGGCTTGTTGTTCTCTCCTTATCGACTGACGAAAATGCAAGTTATAAAAATGTTGATAATCAGGATAATAATGGAGTAATGTATTTCATATACATCGAATTCATTAGTTTCTGTTTCATCATTTTCCCCCTCTAACGATATTTTGATAATGGTTTCCGTCATTGTTTCTCTTTTCCCTTTTTTCTAGATGACCGGAATATTACATCTCATCTTTGGTTTAGCGACCATCTTAGCTGGTGTCATTGCAATCAGTATTGAATGTCGTCTCTCTTACTATGCTGTACCAGTGTGGGCTGGAGTTCTGGTAAGATCTCACCCCTCCCAAACCCCCTCACATCATCCCCAGGCACACCCCTCCCCCACTACCTCCCACATGCTCTTCAGGCGCAACCTACCTGTCGTTCAAAGTACTCGTCCCCACTCCCTTATGAATTGAACACATCCAACATTTAATTTGGGCCACGGAAGAAAACAAAATTCTCTTTGCCTCGCACGTGATGAAAGAAAATGAATGATTTGTTTTCCCCCTTCCATACATGTTAGAAAATAAGCTAAACTTGTTCTACACTTCACTCACCCCTCATTTAAGTAGATCTAATGACGCCTCTACAGTTCAGTGGGCCGTGGAGTTGGTTGTCTTATGTCCACCACCGTATCTCCTTGGTGTGACATGTGACCCAGATACCAAACATTACACCAATCCCAAGGCAGGATGTCTTCTTTGCTAGCTTTATTTACTCATGGTGAGACATACTGTCAAAGAATCAAATATAGAACATAAAAACGAGCTTCTATAATTATGTACAATGAGTTCAGTTGTGATGATTCACCTGCGCCCAAGGTGCGTGTTCTTAAATACAAATCATTTCATTAACGTGGAATGAGGTTACTTCATCTTCTCATCATGGTCCCCCCCCCCCTCCGCCTCTCTCTCTCTCTCTCTCTCTCTCTCTCTCTCTCTTTCTCTTTCCCTTCGACGGGTGTTTATATATATATATATATATTAAATGAAACGAGATGTTTTAAACATCTAACTAAAATGGGATTCCCCGACCACAAAAATAGGACGAGAATTAAAGTGACTATGGTCGAGTTGTGCTCCAAATTACAAGATGTGCAGGCCTGAATTTTCTTGGTTTGTAAGCCTAAACAAGGTTGTTTCTTCTCATGAACCCATCATGTAACATTACTTTAAACATCTGACCGTGAACTAAACATACAGGAATAGGTAGTATGATGAAGAAGATTAGTTTAAATATATCAGGATGACATGACTGATGTATTCATAGGGGGAAAGTTTGATCATGTAGCGAGTCGAAGCTGTCATGAGTTGGAGTATTCCTTCTCAGGAAGTTATGAGAATATCACGACCAGCTGACTCAACCATGAACGGTATGACCCCGATGAACTTCTTACACCAGGGATCGACATCCGTGAGCACTGTCAATAAAACCCAATCATTCATGCGAACCCTAGAGAAGGTGCACGAGACACCCCTCCCTCACACACTTAAATTTCGCACGTCATCCTATTTCCACCCTTTTCAAAATTGAGTTGTGCCCCCTTGAGTTTGATCCTAATGAACTTCCTACACTAGTGACATCGTAGTCCAGATTCTGTCCGTTTTAACTTTTTTTCCTTCTTTAATCATCATTTCCCCCATCCCTCACGTCCCACGCAGTGAATACTGAGGCAGACTTATTCATTTTGCACATAAAATGAGAGGATTTGAAAAGGCAAAGAATAAGGAACGTTATTCCTTTTATTACTTTAATGTATACATCAATTTTATAATCTGAACTAGTTCAATAAGAGATTCAAATTGACATTTTTAAATATACAGCAAAAGTACCCTGTTCCGTCGTAAATAACGATTTCCTTCAACAACAACAAAAAATATATTATATAATATGTTACAAGTTAAAGTCCAATATGATATAGTATATGATAACATTATCTGTTTTCGTAATCGAAAGTCTCGATTTCTAAGGTGCATCGTCTTCGCATTTCGAAAAAGTACGTGAAGAAAGTCGTCTGTCAATTTATCATTCCATGAAAGTTTCTTTCCAGACTATGAATGATGAATATCACAACCATTTCCCTTGAAATGACAGGTCAAAAACAGACCGAATAATCAAAAATCCCACATACTGCAAACTAACGGTTGTTATTACCGGCTGTGGTTTTTGGCACAACTCTCTTGCATGCACAGGTTGGGCATGCAGACATGCATTTCACGTTGACAACTGAAATTCAATCTGATGATTTTCAAATGCCATTGACTTTGTCACTCCTGCTATTGGCATCTATTCAATACAGCATTCCTTTGTGGTTATTGGAATGAAATAAAGGATTATGGAAACGACCTTCTGGCAAGCCAATGGAAGGGTTCACGGACAGACGTATCTTACACATGTCATATATTAAATTATTGTTTGTTTTCAAACGCATCTGTTAACATAATTGTTTTTAAATGAATTACAGCAGTGAATACTACAAATTCATTATATTGTGTGTGGACATAAAGTGAAAGAGAATGAGAGAAGGGGGAGTGAAGAAACGAAGGAGGGAGGGAGGAATGGGGATATAGAGGGGGAGAGAGAGGGAGGTAGATGTAGAGAGAAGGGAGAAGAAAGGAGGGAGATAGGGAGAGGGAGAGAGAGAGATAGAGAGAGAGAGAGAGAAAGAAAGGGGGTGGGGAGATTGGGACTCTATTTAAAAAAAAATACATTAATTAAGAATAATGAATTTTATATTTTTGAATATTATACATAAAATATGTTTCTGTAAGTCCACATTATTTACGAGTTGAACACAGCCTGTGTTATTATGTTATGCATGCTGGTAGGAGGGCGCTATAATTGCTAAATCAAATTCGACATTGAAATCACTTTTTTTTCTTTGATGTCACATCATATAACCTTATCTCTTTGAAAAATGATTGAATGAATAAACAGATGAATTAATTTACTTAGGAATACCTATATACTAGGAAGTATCATATTTGATTAATCAGCTCTACTAATTGTTTATCAAGTATATCGCTAATGCATTTCATTTTAAATTCCATCCTTTCAATGATACCTTTGTTAACGATTTCTGTTTTAATTTTATTTCTGTCTTAACAGTGTTACGTAACAACTGGAATTATTGGGATCAGAGCATACTACAAGAAAATGACAAAGGGGATGGTAAGAATAATCACCAAATAGAACTATAATTATTTATATACTTGATTGGGTTATTTCTATCTTCTGCAGGCTTACAATGTCATATGATTTATTCACATTTGTTTTTTAAGAAGATTTTTTTCGTGCAGTGATTTCGATTGAGTGCATGTTCCGCATATACATTGAACATTATGATTTTTTTTTGCGGATTATCTCGTGTCAAATTTAGCGTGTGTTGTATGAAAATATATTATAAGAAAAAAATAATTGTGGCAACTTAATGCAAGTGTCTAATTTCTTTGAAATCACTCTCACCAAAAATCCTCTATAAATAAATTAAATGGATCTCTATAGTAATAGTTACAATATTTCTTTTAATACCATGATATCAAATGTGATAAAGTTGTATTTGAATAAATAAATAAGCTGTGTTTGAAACTGCTCATTCTAAACTCAATGATATGCGTGTGAAATATATTTCCGATAGTTTTCGGTGATAACTTGTGTTTCATAGATAGTTGGATTTACTTTAAAGGGTACAATGTGCTGTCCTTTAGTCGATAAACACATTAAGAACATTATTATCAAAATAGAATGCAATAGCATATCTCTCACATTACTAAAAACAAATTTTCTTATTTTCTCTAGACGACCTCATACATGGTGATGTGTATGTGTTCATCAATCTTATCTGGAGTTGTCTTCGTCATGTATGTCAACGTCGCTCTCGAAGAAAACTATGCTTACTCGTGCTTCTCACATGACTTCTGTCGAACTCAGGTACTAAGTATTTTCTCCCGACCAAATATATTTGCTTCGCATCACAAAATTCATAATAATAATAATAATGATAATAGGCATTTGTATAGCGCCGGCTATCTAGACAATGCTATTCCGAGGCGCACAAGAAAAATAGAAAGAACGATAGAGTTTGGATGAGGTTATACGAGCCTGCCTGGAGGAGCATAATTCGTATCATTATACGAAGCTGGAGGTCCTACATTATTATGTCAGATTCGGTATTCATTATTTTGATTTCAAATCTATTATCCAAACTTTACCATTTGATAAAATGAATGAACTTGTCATTATCCAGCAGAAACGATTTGGCGAATTCAGAACAAACAAAACTATCCGTCTTTAATTCTTTAAAACTAATTTTTCTTTTAATTTACCATTGTTTTCAAACAATTTTTGTTCCAATTTCTGGAGTCCCGTTATATTAATTTGATGCAAATTATGTTAATTTTAATGGATTCTATGGAGTCGATGAAACTCAATATAGATGGAAAGCAGTCCAAAGCAAAAGCTCAAGAATGTGTAAAGAAATAAGGTATCATCTCTAAAGGACAAGGTAATGGATTAAGATATAAATCTTAAAACGATTGGTATATCCAATAAAAGTGTGTGATTCTCGAGTAACACTGCTTCTAAACTCCCTCCTATGTTTTCTTCATCTCAGCGTATTCGAACCATCGTCGACATCGTTGTCGTGTTGCTGTCATTTTGTGAGTTGGCTGTAGCGATCACCGGAGCGTCACTGACCTGCTGTCGAATCTGTCAATGCTGCAAACCCAAGCCTTCTGCTGTTAATATGGTATGCATTTGGTCTGATGTAGGAGGTATAGGGGAATGTGGAGAACGGGATGGGCTTATTACTACTAGCCTTTTATCATTGATGATAATAATGAAGTTTTCCTGGCCTGTAATGTTTTATTGAAAGGAACGGAAAGATGAGTTGAAGTTAACATTCCGATTATTTTAAACTACATCGGATTTCACCAAAGTAATGACAATGTTTAACCCTGGATTTTAGAATCGTCCCTTTGTATATAAACTAGTGTCACCCCCCCCCCATATGGTTTATCTTTAAAAATATATGATGTGTCTCACATTTTCCAATTCCAGAGTTTTATTTTGGCATTTTTACAATGCCAGAGGCAATTGATCGATGGGAACATTTCATTTTCATGTATAGCCCATTATAATATGAGATGTCTAGTAAGTTTGATCTATTTAATTTATGGGGAATTTGTTGTTGTCCCTACATGCGAAATCATTTATTTTTTGACTAATCATTAATTTCTTTATTTGGTTCTGTTTTTTTTTTAAATATAGGTATACTATAACAACCAGCCTGGTGGAGGCCAAGCTATACCGCAGTATGCAGGAGGTACGTAAAGTTACTTCACAATTTTGAGTAAAAGAGGGAAGGCGTGTATGTCATATGTATTGGTTTGACCCCACCCCCTCCCCAACGTTTGGTTCCCAAATCGTAATTTTCGTTCTCTTTTACAGCATCATCCGGTCAGACAATGATGGTACAAGCAGCTACCTACCAGCCTCGTGATGCGACCCCATCTCAGATGGTTCCTGCACCCCAGCCTGATGATTCAGCTCAGATGACAGGTGTGGTGGTGACCCGATCTAGCCCCATCCGTACCGCCACTGGTTCCTTTATCTCCGACACCGTGGACCCCACCCCTCCTATGGCTTCGGGAGGAGAAGAGAAGACTCCGCTGTAAAAGGAATACCATCTTCATCATTATCTATTGTATGAGCTTTCTCTGTGAATTATGCCTTTTTATTCCATTTTCTCACATTTTGAGTGACGAAATCGAATAGGTTATCTTGCCAATTGCAAAGGCTTCGTTTGTAAATGACCGTCTTTTTGGGAGTATCAGGGCAGCTCTGGGATTAATTTTGAATCTTGATGCGCTATTTCCTCCTGATGTTCGCCTCTCCAAATCTTCTAAAAGATAGATAGATGCCACTTTCCAAAATGAAGAGAGGCAGCACCGTCATGACACGGTTGAGGCGATGCACATAAGAAACGAGTCTCCATGGTAGGGATGGGGTGCGCAGGATAGTAAGCGCGAGTACAGGGGTGCCCTTTCTTTACCAAATGGTACCCCTTTTCAGTCGATGAGTGTTCCCCTACCATCCTGACAGCTCCTCTGCCCCTAGTGAGTAGAGTAATGTTGTCAACGGTCTCTTATGTGCCATACCCCATGTTGCTCAAACACCGTCCCGATATTGTACAGGTCCCTCTGTTTATTATGTTAATAATATTAAAGGTATTATGTCCCATATGCAGGCCTAACAAAAAAATGAAAAGGTTAAATTCCAAGAGCATTTGAAAGACAATTCTAATTTAGAACTTCCCTCAAAACAAAATAGCTTTAAAATGGTTTTTAGTGGGAAAATAACGACCATTAGTTGTAGAATCGACTTAAGTGATTGCAATCACCTAAGTAATTGTTTGATTTTCAGACCCTTTTACCGAATGGTCGTACGTTTTGTGCCACACAAAGATTCAATCAGTTTAATTTTGACCATTACAAGTAGTAGGTTATTGATGGAGACAAATGCTTATGTATCTGTTACAGCTCATTTTATGTTTGTTATTACCAAAGAAAAAAATATTTCAGTCACTCGATAGTGACTGACAGTGAAGTCTCGAATGTTAACGGGTTTCCTGGCATAATTTGAATACTAGGACACTGCTAATGTTTAAATTTCACAGATAGGACATACATGACATAGCAATAATTCCTGCAAAGTTCCACAGAATTTGATGTTGGCTGCAAAAGAGACATATTATCTTTAATATAAACTAAAGAAGAATGTCCTCTCCCGCATCTTGTGTTAGTCATTTAGACTGAAGTCGATGTTATTATTGTGACATTGTCTATCACGGATGTTAAACCATTGCCCCCTTTGTACTACCACCTCTCCACTTCTCCACCCCTCTCTATATACTTCCGCACATTCCCAACCCCCATAGAAAAGCCCCTTTCCTGACACAAGTTTAATGTTGTCTGCCCCTTATCCATTCACCCGTTCGAATGATAAATGTTAGCTGCCGTGTGCATAAAAGTCATGTGTAACATTGCGTTCCGCACATCATGATGTGTGAATGTATAAGGCTTGCAATAATTCATGAATGATATAATTATTATGAAAATCCCGATCATTATAGACTTTGCTCAATTTTGGCAAGCCCGAAAATGTTTTGAAAAATTTCGTTGAAGTAGAATAATTACACAATCACAGTAATGTCCTTTATCAAAAAGTAAAAAAGACACTTTTCTTGTTTGTGCATAAAATAGACTTTCATGGTATACGAATAAACAATATGGGTTAAAAATAATTATGATAACAGCTCATTTGAAGATTGAAATTAAATTGAATTTTGATACAGATAACAATATTCTATAAAGCAATAACAATCCTTTCAACGTTTGATTAAACTTTTTGTCGTGTATAATCTTCAATATAATGCATGTATATAAAACTAAAAGCATATATTAAGAATTCATAATATTGTTTCGTCGATAATGCATTTTGTACAATTTGAATTATTGTTATAACATAATTGATGCAATTAATAAGCTCAAGTACAAATTGTCTATATATGGGGTGAAACAAAGGCCCAACATGATTAAAAGAATTATAATAAGATTGGTATTCTTTGGTTTGGAAAATATAAAGTCGGCACTATTTGTTTTCTTATTGTATACATTTCACAGAACTCTATTTTGTAAAAAATCATCAAAACATGTTATTGGTATTGGTAGAGCTGGATAGGAATTACCTTGAGAACTGAAAAGTTCAGTTGACGAAGCAATTGAGTATTCTGTTTTCTTTGTTCATAATTGTAAATCAGTTACCTTGATGAAGCCGATTATAGTCTTATGATAATGTTGGATCATAAACGTAATCATATTTTGTGGTTGCATGAACGATTGCAACTCTCTCCGATATGATATGTCGAGATGAATATGACTGTGAATACCAAACGGAAATGTGCACATATTGAATCATACCTTCAGGGAGCTGAGACTTTGTACAGTATTATATGTTCAAAGTAAACTCAGAAAATAATCATGAAAACCTGGGTTGTTCTTTACGGATTATTGTCAAAGCAAAGCATTTTGCATCTGCTTAATAATTATCGAATACATGCACGTACTCTAAATGATTCAAATTTGAAAGTACATGTACGTGTATGTACATTATCCATTTCTAAACAATGATTATAGAAACAAGAGCGGCAGATGGCGCTCGACTGAATTTTTGATAGGGGTGAGTTTCGAGCAGAGTTGTGTCTGTGTACAAACAGTGTTCTGCTGAAGTTAGACGAGTTTATGAATAATAATTATTGAAACATATAGGTACTGGGATAATACTTTCATCATTATATTTTAAATATATCTAAATTAGAGTGTTTGCCCTAAGTTTACTTGACAAAATTGCTGATGTATGCTAAGTGAACTGCAGGGGAAAAGAGGAAAAGAAAGAGAGAAGAAGAAAAAATGGAGAGAGAAAATGATGCTGAGGGATAGAGCTCACAATAAATGAGGAAATATGATGAAGATAATGTCAATTTTTTCTTTTGTTTGCCATTTATGTATGACCATTGTTTGAGTCATCTTTTGTAAATTTTGACAATTAATCACCACTTGGTTAGTGGTTTAATACTGTAAATCATCTGAACACGCTCGCAAAGTCTTTCAAAAAATTAAATCGACAGCCTTGCATGGCACCTTTTGAAATCTGTGAACATATCAATGAAATATTACATAATTCAAACATGATTTCTAAAGAAAGTACAAAAGGGTACTGAAATCTCCCTTGAATTGATTTCATGAAAGTCTATGCTATAGTGTTAAATGTGCAATATCAGGGAGGGGGATGCTTCCATTTGTTTCTTGTTGATTGAATTAACATTGTAAATAGAATAAACGGTTAAGGTTAAATTTGCTATTAAAAATGTATCCTTTCTAGGAAGAATGTGTGTGAATTCATTGTTAAAATTCTTTGTGATGTACTGAAGTTATTGTCTCCTTGTAATCAAAATAGAAAAAATAAATGATATTTTTCATTTCCTTCAAACACAACACCATACTTAAAAAAAAATAGAGTAGTCATCAGTTTTTGTTATTGAAGGTTTTAGAATCAGCTTCATGTAATACCGGTAGTAACTGTTCCATTTTTAACAATCAGATATGTAAAGTGGAACTTCATTATAAGGAATATCCTGTTTTAGCAAACTGTTAATATAAAAGTGTCATTTTGATGGTCCCACTTCTTCATATTGTCACTGTTTATAAAGGTCTGATATTTAAAATAAATCAATATAACAAGGTAATTTCCATTTTTAGTCTGACCACACTTTTCTTAAATTGAATGAATTAGGTAGTGCAAAAGAAAAGCAATAGTTAACTCACAAAAAAGTTAGAAAAACTGAATAACTATCTAACTAGCTAAATATCTAATTAACTTATTAACTATCTAACTTACTAACTATCTATCTAACTAGCAGACAAAATAGTACAAATACTCTGGGTATTCATTCTTTAATGACACAAATGCAATTTTATTATCAAATACTTAACCAATATTATATAAATGGATAAATAACTGTACAAAAAACAGAAAATGGCATTGCTACATATGCAATACGTATCATAGTGAAGAATGGGTCACTTTGAGAGAAAAAAATAGAAAGCAAAAATACTGTAATGGAAAATCAAATGCTAGAAAATTGAAATTGAAAAAGAAAAGAGAAACAATATTGATTAATCAGTCTTCCAAAATATACATCCATCAGACTTTCTTAAAATTACCACTTAATATCTAGTAAATTATATTGTTCAATCATTTCTTTTGATGATATGAAGAAAGCATTGAGCAATAACACTAAGGATTGGTTTCTGCAGGCCATTTGTCTAGAAGTAAATCAATCAATGAAAAACAGAGGTTGGTGGTGATGAAATTAATCCAATTAAAGTGCCTTCTCCTTAGTTGTATGAATTATTTAAATATACCTGCATATCTAGTTCATACTCAATTCTCATTTAATTCACAAATAATGTCAAATTTAAATATAATTAAAAAAATCATGTTAAAGAGCCAATTTGAGTTTGCCTTGTGTGGAAATAAAAGTAAAAAAATATCAAAAATGTTGCATATGAAAAAAATACATGTATTACCACAAGAATAAAAGAGAGACTAGTATTTAATTGATGTAAATGAAATGAAAATTTGATCAATAGTCAGTCGTAACTTCTGGCTGAAATTCCAAAAACTCCATACTTTCACTCTCTTCATATTTCATATTCTGTATTCTTTACACAAACATATTATACATCCCCTGCATATATACATTAAACCTTATCTACAATAATATACATACATATACATTCAAACCTCTTTGGGGTACATGTACACTCGAGTCTGTTAAGAGCCAGAAGGGCATTAACCCATCATTTCAAACAGGGTAAGTGCCCTTTGGCTTTAACACACAATACAACCCAGCAATATCAGTTTGACATGATCAATTTTTAACAGTTGTTGTATTTCACTCCATGTAATCAGCAGCAAGATGGCGGAAGTTTTAGTCAAAAATATGTCGTATTGGTATTTAGCAAATTCAAAAAGCCAGGATTAGGGCATTGTGTAGGTGGGAGTGATTAAATTAAAAAAAAAAAAGAAGATGTATGACAGGCTCACAAGCATGCATCCCCTCTTTTGTTTGGTGAGCTCCCAAAAGCACTGTGGAACCAATTTTGACCAGGTTTGGCCAAGTTTAGTGCACTATTGCTGACCTTTCCACTCTGTCAATTTCCTGGATTCATGACAGAAAGTAAATCAATATTAATCTTTATGGCAACTTCTAACGTTTCTTCACCATTATTGTTCAGTACTTAGCAAAACTATACGCATTAACAAAGGCCCTAAAATAGAACCTCAAGTAATCCACATTTAACTGTTAATAAATCACTGATACATCCATGCAAAAATTCTTGGTTTCTGTAAGAATTATCCTGGTTATAATGAGTACTCACAAGTACTTTGAAAGCTTTAAAAACATGAACATAGAGGGCGCTAGAACATTTAGGAAATTGTCAATATTGGGGATTTTCATAGCAATCATTGCAAATGCATACAAAAAACACAAGCTAACAATCACAGTGTTAAGCATGATATAAATAGCAAACTATGTTCCAGTAAATAAAATGCATGTACTGTAAAATCAGAAACAAATTCTAAATGACAAATAATTTCCCCAGTTTTATGAATAGCAGAAAATATGTGTCTGTCAGTAGTGATTCACTTATTTAGCAGAAAGAATCACTCAAAAAAATTGTGGCTTATTAACCAAGAAACCAAAAAAAAAGTGGAAGCATCAGTTCTATAGGATGGTTTTAACCATTAAGCAAGGTGGGATTGGAGAGACAATAAACATACTCCTGGGCCCTGTTTCATGAAACTTGTCATCAATGATATGCTACTGTTACTGATATAAGCTACTTAGATCCTTGCATTTGATTGGCTGCGGGAGCACATTTGGCACTTGTTAATGATAACACATTTTAGGAAACAGGGCTCATTTTAAAAAGAACCTATGCCAGAGCCCTTGTGCCTGGCTTTGTTGCATCTAAGGGTGGACATGGTTCAGCAATCCCAGAGTAGTGTTTAATGGATACTTTGTGTTGACTGGTTTAGCCTGGCCTGGTCTGACATTGCTGCTGTGTTGATTGTTAGTGGGTTGACTGACCAGTTCTAGCTGTGCTCATGTTTCTGGTCAAATCGACTCTTGTTGTTCTTGACCATGTAGATGAAGTAGGTCAGCGCTTCTTTTTCTCTCACTGGGATTGTCCTGAAATGTCTGGCCACAATCTGCATAACAAAAGATGGATACAGGTAACAACAATACATTGTAAAAGATAATATTTCACTTTTGAATGGTAAAACTTTTATCTACTTGATCCTTTGAAATTAAATCCATTGGATATGTGTAAAAACATTGATTAATACATTTAACTTCAGAAGGGAAAAATAAATAAAATAAAAATAAATAAAAAATAATGCCCCATACACTGTACATTGGTCCTTTGTACTTACGTCAGCAAGTTGAGCCTTGTTGAGGCCTGGTTTGGTTTGGATCTTATAATGTCTCTTGTATCTTCTTAATGTATTGACTTGAAGGTGAAACAGATCAACCTACAAAGAAAGGAAAGAAAGAGAAATGGATGTACATCTATCAGCAACAGGGATATTCAGTGAGCTTGTGTGAGTTTTACCCAAATCAAATCATGAATCCATCAATCTTTATGATTGATTGATGGATTCACGGTTTTGGTGAAATTTCAGAGATGATAATATACCTACAATTTCATGATGATTATACATATAAAACTAGACTTGTTTTCAAATAAATATTTAATTTGATTTAAATCTAACAATTAAAAGTACCTAATTTAGAATGCATACAAAGTTTTCTTTAAAAAGGATCCAGTGACATGACCATCACATGTTTCTGAGAAAGACACCCCCCCCCCCCCCCAAAAAAAAAAAAAAAAAAAATGCATGGAAAATATTACACAAAATATTGTTCTTCTTGATACCATTCATATTTCATGCTGGATTGATTTTGAATCATTGTGTTGGTAATTTTCTGAAATGGAAGGGGGGCCCTTATACATATAAAACTAGACTTGTTTTCAAATAAATATTTAATTTGATTTAAATCTAACAATTAAAAGTACCTAATTTAGAATGCATACAAAGTTTTCTTTAAAAAGGATCCAGTGACATGACCATCACATGTTTCTGAGAAAGACACCCCCCCCCAAAAAAAAAAAAAAAAAAAAAAAAAAAAAATGCATGGAAAATATTACACAAAATATTGTTCTTCTTGATACCATTCATATTTCATGCTGGATTGATTTTGAATCATTGTGTTGGTAATTTTTCTGAAATGGAAGGGGGATGTAAATGGGTCGTTGTCCAGATGTGTCAAAATACCTACATGCAAAAAATGTATAAAAGAGTATGAACCCATGCCAACATCCCTCCTTTCTTACCTCTGGTACATCTAGATCATGATCTGGAGATATCCCACCATCTTCATCACTTCCCTTCTTCCTCTTCTTGGTACTCCGCACACTCTGAATCATAGACTTGTGGAAGTCACAGATGTAGATATGCCTCACCTAAATTATGAAGAAATATAATAAGAAATACAATAATTAATAAATATAAATTGAATAAATAAATAAACAAGGAACTGTTTGTAAGCACTGTCATAATTATCAAAACCAAGCATTTAAAGAGCACTGCACAAATAGATAATTCTGAGGAAAATTTAAATCTTTGAGACCAGACCGAACGAATGTGTCCAAATTACAGTAACGGCAGGTTGAACCCTAAAAACAGGGGGGGGGGGGGGGATGAATTAACCTAAATCAGTAAGAAGAAACCATTGTCTAAAAAAAAATAACCAAGAGGTTCATCGGACTGATAATGTAACATGGTTGAGAAATAGTTAATATCCCAAAGAGGTTATTTTTAAAATTCTAACTAAAAGATGTATTTCTCACCCAATGTCTCTCTGACAAACAAACTTTACTGGATACTCACACTGTGATCAATGGTGAGTTTGAGTTTCCTCTGTTGTACTGTCTTAGCAATGCGTTTACTATAGCATGCATTCCCAGCCGGTCTGGTGCAGCGTTGACTATCATCTACCAAGCAACATATCTGACCATGTCCTGAGTCGCGACTGTCATCCTCCGTCGTACTAAAACCATTCATCTTGCGCTGCGATGATGTCGAAGACGACAACTTTGTTGTCGATGGATTCAAGCCAGACTTCATCGAGCTGGATTTGAAGGGGCTGCTTTTCTCTTTCATTCTGGCAAAAAATGATAATGATGGAAAATTGTCAATCACACGAGCTCCCTCCAAAGTACAGTGGTTTGTCTTCACTTCTCATTTACTGCTTATCTATCTTTATCCATTACTGCATGAGCATCTCATTTGAAGAAATGAAAATAATTCAGGGTATGTTATCCCAAAAGAATAGGAGACAAGTCCATGAAGATAAATAAAAAAAAACATAATTTTGTACAACAGTTTCATAAAGGATATGATTGGAAAGAATTAGAAAACAGAATAGAAATTTTATTTTTTAATGAACAGAACAAAGCACACAAATTAAAAAAAAATTCTTTCAAAATACAAATCAAACTTCAATTCAAAGTGACAACAATCTAGAGAGTAGAGTAGAGGATAGACAGTTTTAGGTTTCACAGCCTTTATTAGGGCTAGGTGATAAGGTACAATATGGTAATGACACCAATCAATGTCATATTTTACATTATCACCTAGCCATTTTACATTTCCACCTAACCCTAGCTGGCCTGTGCGTGTGACAGTGTCCCTGCTACTGCCAGTGCTATGCCACTGATAATAATCCCAGCCCAGCGGCGGTCTCATGAAATGTACTTGGTCTGCACGTCTGCCATTCTCATTCTGCGTGAAAATGATTTTTGTTCATAAAAATATCGATAAATAACACAAAAGACATCGATGAAAACGAATTAAAAGTTTAGAAACTGTACATTGAATTCGGAGATTAAATTCTGAATGTGGGACTTACCGTGAAAATGTATAAATGCGATTTCGTAGAAAAATACGTAGACGTAGTCGTGTACGTTCAAACCGCTGGCAATGCACAATGTATAGTACGAGTAATGTGTTAGCGCTTGGCAGAAAACTCAACTCGTACTTAGCGGATCAACGCTAGCTTGCTCTGCCCGAAGTTCCCGGTTGTCATCCCGAGTGGTCGACCCTAGATCATGCAGCATTGTTGTAGGTCATGTATTGACGTACCGTACTTTGTGTTGCGCTTATTGCGCATTATGAGGTTTAATTTTTTGTCAAGTCGCTGTAATTTTATTATGAAAAACAGAAACTATAATTGTGTTTGAATATTACAGATCACTATAAAAATTGGACAAATATATTATAAATATTAATCATGAGTTAGATTTTCAAAAGAAAAAAGAGAAGAAAAATAAGTGAAAGACTACATCTGTAATCTTTTTTAAAGTTTTGAAATACAATTGTTCTTGAATATGTTCTAGTAATATAGGAGGTGCCTTGAAAACTGAAAATGGGGAAAACCAATCGCACTCCGCGCGGCGAGTCGACACATTTGCACGAGTTAGAAAATGGAGAACTCAAGGCATGAGGATGAAGCTGCGACTTTGCTGCTGCTGATGTCGATCGATGGTGATGATGCCGCGGATAAAGAAAAATGATGGTGATGATAAAAATAATATTATTTAATAATGATATTAGTAATGATGATGATGATAATAATACTACCACTATTTCTATTACTACTAACAATAATGATATGTACTCGGGGCCCGGGGGGGGGGGGGGATACGGGGGCATGCCGCTCTAATGGGTCACAAGAAGAAGAAGAAGAAGAAGAAGACATTTAAATGGGCTACCTATCCAGTCCCGTATCAAGTTTAAAGTACTTTTAACTTATCAATGTTCAGTACACCAATTAGCTCCATCATAATATGATATATTATATCTCATTGCATATACAGTATAAACAAGAAAAATACTCCGTTCCAGTAGAAAGTCTTTATTTTATGTCCCATAAACTGTGACGAAATTTTATGTGGAAAGGCAATTTTCATATGCATTTATCCAGCCAAAGTTTTATGGAATAACTTCCCGAGGTCCGGTTTATTGCAATTGAGCTTAATTCGATCACAAAATCTATTAGTTTTTTAATCCCTTCTATAGAATACTTTTGCATTTGTTTTTTTGATTGCCCCTGATCCTTGATCCTCGGAGGTTCCGGGTGTCAGCGCTGCCTGTGCTTTGTCAATGCAACTAAGTCCGGCTTGAAAAAAAGAGGGGGGGGGGGGCAAAGGAACCTGAGGCTTAATTGGTGAGGTTTGAGGATGATTAAGTGATTTTTTTGCGGTAAACATGAATAGAAGATGAGCCGTGATGACACCCCTACACGGTATAACCGGTTGGAAACTTACCCTACATAGACAAAATTGTGTTTTCTCTACCAGAATGTCCCACCTCGATCGCTCGCTATACTGATTTACAAACAAAAATATGTTGGTCCAAGTTTGTAGCCTGTAGGACATTCTTTTACCTTTCACAATTTTTAAAGAATCTGCGGACTGAACTATGATATTTTTCCCGACCGACATCTGATGTATGAAGGCCCGACACGGCACTTTCGCCCTTGGGCAAGGCCTTTTATCTATACATATACATTGCTCCTCTTCAGCCACTGTCAAATGAGTACCCGGTAGGCCGATACAAAAATTATATATACATAGAGCTGTATCAGGTTAATCAAAGTCAAACTTTAAGATACTTGAAATGTGATTATCAGAATATGAACCAGTTATTCAAATGTTTCGTGAGAATTATTTCACTTTCAATATGTTGTCCATAAAGTCGGATTAAATATTTTTTTACCACTTTTCATGAAATGATTGTTGCAGTAATGTTGGTAGATAAAGTGTATATACGTTCCTAGAGTTGTAGGGATAAATTATTGATCCGAATCTCTACGACTCAATATAAATATTGATCAATTCAATTCTGGGAAGAATAATTCATCTTGTCACAATCATTTCATGAAGAAGTAAGAGCAAACTTTTCATGACTGACTATATATGTCCAGTGTATGTATATAAATAATCTCGGACGGAGGCAAATCTAGCCTAGCTTATGCATAATATCTTGAAATTCGCATCTATATAACTATATCATCGTAAAGAAAACACAAAGCCCGACATTCCCTATACCTTCAAAATCATTTAATATACAGGAGCATAGAATATTTTTAGATGGATATGTTTCACTATATTCTTGGTAATCTTAGTGCATTCTGATATTTTGAAGTTTTTTATTACTTTTTCCCCTGCGAAGGGTTAGCCATGTAAACATGTATTATTCCCGCTATGCAATCACATGATACGTATCGTAGCAGACGGCATAAATTACCAGTTCTCCCCTGCTGGTTTATAATGCATTTCGATTGGTCAAACATTCGCTCATTCTACGGAATGACCAATCAGCATACACCTATCTTCGCCGCCAGCCTTGTCATTTGGCGTGGGTATATTGTTGCGCGTCTTCACATAGCCGAACTACACGCAAACTCTACGTAGCTGTTATCCACTGCATTCCCTTTCGAGATTCCGTAAGGTAAGTTGTTTTATTTATTTTATTCAGAGAAAGTTGTTGAGATTTTTGAAAGTTGTGCGAATATATTAGTTGCAGTATTAGCTAATGTTTTCAGGATGTTGTTGATTTTTAAAAAGGATTTAATGGTTTTTCTCGGCGTTTGAAGTGAACCTCTACATCTCCATTGGGTTGCGTGTTAGACAGTGGAACTTGGAGTTGGAGCCTGACGTCGTCTTTTTCGAATGGTATCGACATGCAAAATTTGACATTTTTTACATTTTGAATTGATGATTTTTACTGAAACTTTACGGAGCGCTTAAAAGCATATGTGCGGACTAAATCCTCCAAAACGATCGAAAGACGTTTTATTTTTTATTTCGTTAGAGGTCTTTTTATGGACACCATTTGATCTCGTCGCTTGTCAAAGTGACATGCCTACGTGACTATGTATGAGACGTAGCATCGTTGATTTCTGCACTAAAAACTCTCTGTATAGTCGACTGTTAGTAGAGATTTCGTGTAGAAACACATGTACATTTGAAATTAGGATGTCAAACTTGAACTTCCAAGGTTTGATTTTGCATTCTCATGTTTCGTTTCCCTTTATTAGCTTTATTTAGGGGCACTTTCATTCATGAAATCGTGAGTGACGTTTTCGATGTTGTTTTTTGAGGCTTTGTTTGACCCCGCCGGTGCTGCCATCTTGTTCCATACATAACATTCGTTTCCCTACAAATGCCCTGTATATGCTACCAATATATCTCGCAGTTTTATATACAAACCCATTGAAACGTGCACTAAAGTGTCCGCAGCAATGTACGGAACATTTCGGTACCACATTTATAGAAATTCTCCGAGACCTTCCAAAATCTAAAGGACAGAATTCCGTGGCATATCATCTCAACTTGTGTAGAGATGGTGGACGCGACATTTTTACCATTTTTTCACCGCTCTTGCCTCGGGTTGATGTTGGTTGAACGGCACGCATTGGCATTGCGCATAGTCATATATGAGGCCGTGCCGTATGTATTGTATGCATGTTGTTGTGTTGGCTGTAGCTTTCCCTGTCACGGACCTGCATGTACACTACAAGTAAATCACACCGGGGCTCTTACAACTAACATTCTATGGCAAAAAAACTATCAACATAACCTGTATATCGACATGGGAAACATCCTACTGCAAATATACTGGCATTTCTACAGTCATTTTCTTGATTTTTGGTGTGGATTTAAGGGACTTTTTGAGGATGGTGTCATGCATCTCATTTGCATAAATGGGGTTCGCCCACTGTTATACGCAGTGCGTGCTCTGTTGGCACAAAGGAGGGATTCTAAGCCGAGCTTTGACGTCGGAATTGGGAAAGTTGAGGCGGCTAGTTGAGCGTAAGTGTGGAGCGGCGTTGCGGTGAATAGAGGAAACAATGTATGGGACCAGTGATTTCAGCACTCCATTGGAATATGGCATGGGCAAGCATAGTCTAGTGGTTTTGAATAAAACTTGTTTGGGTCAGATCATGTCATTTTGAAATTGACTTCTCTCATATTTTAATGCTGTTGCTTTTACTTAAATATTTTTTTCTTGCATGTTTATCTAATTTATTTAGAGTTTAAGTGGAATATAATTTTATTTATTTCCCCTCTTAAATATAATTTCATTTAAAGAATATATAAACAATACAATCATATGTTCTATTGTTTATATAATCATGTTATGACTTAAAGTCTATGTTTAAGTTGATAATATTTTTAAATTCATATTCCCTCTGAATCTGAACTCATTTCAAAATTAAATATTATTTTAACAATGCAATCATACTATACTTACTTACTTAGAATATACTTAATTTCTAAGTTAAGAGTCCAGTTTTTAATTGTCTTAAATAAAATTAACCAATATCCTCACCTGAGGACAAAGTGTTAACATTATAATTATCAATTCATTTTTCGACATGTTGGTTTAACTAGATAAATGAACTTAATTTCCTTAGGTAAAAGTTTGATTAATAATGGTACCAGATGCTGGAAGTGGAAATTAAGTTACCTTTTAGTTATGTTTTTCGCCATTAACAAAAAATGTCGATTGTCAAACTGATTAACCACAAGAGTTTGATGTTTGCTTACAGATGGTTAGTATCATTTCAGAAACTGTCTCAAATATTTAAGAATTTGCTTACAAAAGAACAAAGCTTTAAAAAAAAAAAAAAAATTTCCCCCTATTAAGTTGTCTCTCTGAGGGCGTTCAGGAGCCCATTGGTTTTGTGCATTGATCATCTGTTTAAAAAAGAAAAAGTAGATGGTCCATTTTAAAATTAGATGGTCAAAAAGGGTGATATTTTAAGAATCTGCTCATCATAATCTAGTTGAGATAAGACAAGTATTTGCAGAAGATGTGTATAACTATAAAGGAAATTGGTATCCCAAATGGCCTTTTTCTTCCTGATTTTCCCTTATTTTCTCTATTCTTCTTTATTTTTCCCTATTATTTCCCATTTTTTCTTACTCAAAAGGGAGGAACATTGTTAGATGCCATCCCCCCGAATCCTCTTCTTTTTTTTAATCAGGGGGGGGGGGGGGGGGGCGTGGTTGAGGGGGAAATTTAAATTTTTTTTTTTTTTTTAGTGCTCATTATCACCCCTGGTAGAAGTGAAAACAAATTATTGACATTTATAATAATGGCAGATTTACAGGGGGAGGGCCCAGGCTATCACAATAGGCCATTGCATGCCCTCTTTAATACCCAATCTGGTGTACCATTATAATGATAATAATGAAAATAATATTTATTAACAATTAATAATAATTACTACAACTACTACTTCTAGTAAGAATAATAAAAATATACAATATATAAAAGTTCCCTATAATTTTGTTCTTGTGCTTCTTTTTGAAGCTTGAAACCCAAACTTATGTCAGAGGTTCTTGCGAATTATGCCTCCTTTTGAGAGAATCCAGGATTTGCCCCTGATGATTCCATTGCATTTTAATCAATGAACTTTCCAAACATCTATTCTAATTATCTACAGATTTTGTAAGTGAAGAGCATCGAGACAATCATGGGCAAGAAGGACCGAGACAGTTCAAAGCCTCGTGGACGTATGTCTGCATACGCTTACTTTGTACAGGATTCCAGAGCAGAGCATGGCAAGAACCACCCTAACAGTCCTGTCAGGTTTGCAGAGTTCTCCAAAGATTGCTCAGCAAGATGGAAGGTAAGATTTAGCTGCAAGCCATTAAAAAAAAAAAAAAAAAAAAAAAATATCCTGCCTTTTTGAAAAATAGGAAGGAGGAGGCCCTTTTTTTTCTTCTCAAAATGGCTGCCTGGTAAATTTCCCCTGACAGTTAATCAACAAAAAACAAACAAAATCTGAAATAGATCATTTTAGCAGTATGTTTTTGTCTCGCCTGCGTAGCAAAAAGCGAGACATAGGCGCCGCTTTTCCGGTGACGGCGGCGGCGACGGCGACGGCGTCAACATCAAAAACTTAACCTAAGGTTAAGTTTTTGAATTTTTGGTATAATTTTTAAAGTATAAGTTCTTAGTCAATGAAACTTTGACTATAGGGTAATCAAGTATCCCCAATCATGTGAGTAGAATTTCAGATCACAAAGTCAAGGTCAAAGGTCATTTCAGATTTTCAGGTCAACAGACTTGGACTATGTTGTAGCATCATCATCGAAAACTTAACCTAAGGTTAAGTTTTTGAATTTTTGATATAATTTTGAAAGTATAAGTTCTTAGTCAATGAAACTTGGACTATAGGGTTATCGAGTCTCCCCAATCCTGTGAGTAGAATGTCAGGTCACTAAGTTAAGGTCAAAGGCCATTTAAGGTCAACAAACTTAGACTTTGTTGTGGCATCAACATTAAGATTTTCAAAATGCTTCTTCTTCGTTATTTTTCAACCGATTTTGATTCTGATTGTTTCATATGATAGGGCTAGGAGGGGATTTAAAATTTCTACACAGAATCGTGAAATTCATTATCTATGCTAATTTATGCAAATTTATTCGAAATCACAAAAAAGGCTTCTCCTTCATTTCTCGACCGATTTTGATTTGGTTTGCTTTATATCGTAGAGCTAACTTTGGTACACTAAACTTCTACACAGAATTTTGAAATTGTTCTCCATTAATTAATTATGGTAATTTATGCAAATTTATTCCAAAAATAACAAAAATTGCTTCTTTTCCCTCATTTCTTGACCGATTTTGCCTTATCTGGTAGAGCTAAATTTGGAACAATAAACTTCTACACAGAATTGTGAGATTTTGCTCCATTGATTATTTATGGTACTTTATGCAAATGAAATGAAATTATGTCCCTTCCAGGGCATCAAATTTCTATATTTTGACCAGTTCAAAAGTGTACCACATAAAATTTACGATATTTGTTGTTGTGAGATGCGGATGAGCGCTACGTCATGGACGTTCTGGTTTATCATATTGAATTGCGTTATGCAGGCGAGACCGCCGAGAGCGTTTCCCTTGTTCATATTTTTATTCATTGACAAAAAAAAAGCTAAACATTTTTTTTTATCATTGATGGCTTATCAATGTCAGATCATTTTGATAATTAGCCCTCTTTGTTTCCCTGTTTGTTCATGTGGAAAATGAATCAGAAATCGTAGGTCAGAGTCAGACCTTAAAGATTTATGCAAATGAGCAATCTTTACTGATTTGGGCTTGTTGGGATCGCTGGACTATCATTTTTTTGGTATTACAACTGTATGCATTTATTTATTTTTTTTATCTACACGCATGATATTACAAGCCTGATAATTACCTACCTGATTTAAATCGGTTTCCCAATTTAAAAAAAAAAAAATTTACCCAATTTTTTTTTCTTCCCAATTTTATCCCAAGTTTCCTGATTTTCCCCTTATTTTCTCTATTCTTCCCTATTTTTACTCAAAAGGGGGAATGTTGTTTGATGCCATTTGTTTCTCGCGAATTCTCTTTTTTTTCTTTTTTGGTAGAGGGAAATTTGTTGTTGTTGATTTTTTCCATCCAAATAAGATTGAAATAGTTTTGTTTCTCTTTTTTGTGATGCATACCTGATATGTTTTACCACCTTGTGATTGAAAATAATTTTGTCTTTGGCTTGTGTTCTTTTAGGCTCTGGAGGAGAAGGGAAAGGGTGTTTTCCATGAGAAGTCTATGCGTGACAAGGTTCGATACGATCGTGAGATGCAGTCCTACAAGCCTCCTAAGGGTGAGAAGAACAAGAGAAGACGTCGCAGGAAAGACCCAGATGCACCCAAGAGGAATCTGTAAGTAAACAGTCTTAGTGCAGATTGGTCTAACAAAGAAATTTTCTATTCATTTGTAAATTCTATGATTTAATGTGAGAATGTGTTTGTCTGCATGGAATTGGTATGTTTTACAGACTAATCCAGAAAATTATTATCATTACAAGTAAGAATTCTCAACCTCTAATGCCACCAGGTCAGCATTCTTCATCTTCAGTGGAGAGAACAGAGCAGCCATAAAGAGTGTTCATCCCAACTGGTCTGTGGGTGATATCGCCAAAGAACTGGCCGTCAGGTGGAGAGCTATGACTGCTGGGGAAAAGATTCCGTTTGACAAAGGTGCTGCTAAGGACAAGGAGAGATACATCAAGGTAGGTATAGTGGCTGGATAGATGGATGCTGACAAGGTTCAGTTTAAGAAGGGTGCTGCTAAGGTCAATGGATTGATACCTCAAGGCATGATAGATATATGATTAGATAAGGATAAGGCTCAGTATGAGGAAGGTGCTGCTAAGGTCAATGGATTGATACCTTAAGGCATGATAGATATATGATTAGATAAGGTTAAGGATTCAGTATGAGGAAGGTGCTGCCCATTGCAAGATATGATGGATGGCTTGAAAGATGGCATTCTGCGCATCACTATAACAAAGAATCATTATAACAAAGTATATATCCAGGTTATTTACAGTAAATTTTTAAAGAGTTTATTTCAGTCTTAACAATATTTTGAGGGTTGGAGAATGGAGACTAAATGTTTGCTTGTTTGTTCCTCAACAGGCCATGGCCGAGTACAAGGCAAAGGCAAAACCCATGAAGCGTCAAGTCAAGGAATCCTCCAGCTCAAGTTCCTCTGATTCCAGCTCCGATGATTCAAGTTCAGATGATAGCGATTAGATGAGTGGTGTGACGCCACCTCTCATGGCTGTTGTAGTGAAACAACTCACTTTAAGAGAGAGAGAGAGAAGGAGTGACCACCTGGCGGCTAGCATTGTTTGTAGGCCACCATAGAATATTTCATTTGTGCATATGTTTTCCTAAATTGTCTTTGTAGGTCTCGTTTCTTCCTATTTCATGAAGCCCCATCGTTTAATGAAATCAATTTAATGGTATCACTACAAGGGCATGCTTATTTGCAGGTTTGTCTGCATTGTTTTGCCTTGCTGCTTGTACCCAAGCGTGTGGGAGAAAGAAAGAAAGGTGGTTTGGAGGCATTGTTACGCTTTCTTATGTTTTGACAAGTTGAGAGAGAATGCTTCCTCAAAATTAATCTTGCCATGAATAGTCATGTATCTCATGTTTTCCATGGTATTTTTAACAATGATGGCTGATTGTATTGTTGTATATATGCCAAATTTTTGTATCTGTTCAGGAAAACATATTGCACCCTTTATACAGACCTAGGTAGTTGCGTCTGTTTGGATATGTTGGAAAATGTCCATAAATGGGTCAATCTTTTATTCAAAATCTCTTTTCTCTAATTGATTTTGCTTTCAGCACATATACTCAGTAGCTTGGAATTATGTAAAATCTGATGCTGTTCAAATAAGATAAGCATAGTTTATCATTTTCATCACTTTACCAGAACAAATTTTGGGAACTTTTTGTACCTGTTCGGAGAATACCTTTTTAAAGTGAAATCTTGACTTGTATTTTGAATGATTGATAATGTGCTGATTTTTAGTTGAACGATACTCGTCAGCACTCCATTATTTTTTAAGCAACTCTTAGCAGTATTAAGTGTGAAATATTGGGTGAGTAACTTGGTAGGACAGCAGTGTAAAAAAAAAAAACCGCTTTCCCCTACCCTTCAGTTTTGTGATATATTTTCCTGCTCTAATACTTCTGCTAAACTTATATAAACTTGCTATATGTATTTAATTGTGTGATTGTTTTTTTTAATGGCTCTATGTATAAATCTTGTGATTTTCGCAAGGATAAAAAGGAAAAAAGTGAACTCTTACAAGGCCAAGATTCTACATGATCACTGTAAAGTTAGACATTTTCTTGAGTGATTGAGACTTGTGAAAGTTTCATGCCATGGAATGCGTTGACATCATTATTTTTTGCATTTGGCGTTATATAATAGGGGCAAGCATATCTCAAAGAGAATAAACTGTTCTGGGAAACATCATAACCATATCTTGTAGAATATTGGCCTTAAACTTGAGTGAGAATTGAGAAGAATCAAATAAACATGACAAGTAAAAAAAAAGAGTGTGGGGTATCATGTTTTACAAGTTTACTTTCCATTTTTTGACAGTGCTTCTATGCAAATATCTAATGCGACTTGTAGACTCATCTCAATCAATCAAATTGCTCTCATGAAATGATTTTTAAATATATTTTTAGATGTACATGTATGTGAAATTCCTCCGTCTTGTCTGAGTGTTATTACATAATTTTTGTATTCAGTTCAAATTAGTTCACAGACTTTGACAAGATTTTGTGTTCTCAATTCTCACTATATTGTATGTTGTTTGCCAATTCGAGCCTTTTAACTTAAATATCTTTTCTTATTAAAATCTTATTTTAGAACTGTACGTCTTATGTATGATAACACTTAGTAGTATTGGTTTCAGAGCTTTATTTTTTCACAATGAAAGGGATAAAAATGCCATCAGGCATGTTTTTTTCTCTTTTCCCCTCAATATGTAAGAGAAAAAAAAGCATTGTGGACAATCATAACCCCCCAAGTGTCAAGATATGCTAGTTTTATGAATTTCGCACATCCATTGTATTATACAAGGCATTTGTGACTGTATTTAGTCATCGTTTTATAATTGTTAATTCTCCTACCAAACAGTATACATTTAATTTGAAACTGAAAAGTATTTCTTGCTGGTTGTAAGCTATCTTAACCAAATATCTTGTTAGATAACAACATTCAGCTTATTTTTTTCACAATACTTAAATCTGCTGCATATGTAATTGTGATTTAGATTTGGTGCTTCGAAGACCTAGAACAGGTTTCTGACAATTACCTGTAAAATACCAATGCTAGTTGTGAGTCAGTTCACCATGCCAAATGCGCTTAACATCTGTTGATAGCTGGGTTGTAAATATGACAACAACTGTTGATAGTTGTGGATCTGATTTGCAACTCTTTGGAATCTTTAGTTGCGGCTTTTAAGTACATGTATTGGTAACTTTAAGAACATGATTTACGACTGATGGTCCTAGCAAATGAAGACTGTGGTGAAATAATGGGCAAGGTTTAGAATGTTTTGGCTTTATGAATATGTGTCCAGACATAAACTTTATGTAAGGCAAGTATGGAGTCACCTGTTGTGTATAGATGTTTCTATGTGTACAGTGATACAAGGGGGCAATTACTAATTAGTGAAATGACAGAACTTACCGTAGGTGTAATCATGAGTATTCACAAGTTCTCAACATTACTGAAGCACAGGTTCAAATATCTGCAATGCATATAGGACAGTTTGTCTTACAAATCCACTTTTACATCATTTGAAAACAAAATGTTCTTGAAGACATCTATCCATGTCATATTCATTGAATTCTGATCATATTTTCTTGCATGGAAGTTGTCTTGCACGATGCCGTATATAGTTTGTGATCATTTCTGAGGTATTGCACTTTAAAGTTAAAATGTTCGTGTACCAGTTGTGTTGTATGAGAAGTTATACGAGCATAAAATACATGTGCATGGACTTTCGATCATCAACATTTAGGTTGTAGATGCGTTAAAGTACAATATAAGCAGTTCTACATCAAGAATATAATGCCTTTTCGGAAAGATACGTTCATACTTACATCATATTTTTGAATCGACTTGAATTGTATGTATTCGAGTTCTTGTTGGTCACAACTCAAGTTTCCAGCATTGGACATAGTAATAGCACAAGCTTTAAAATAACAAAGTTTTTGTTTGTAATTATTCATGAATTTTCCTGTGTAGATAACTGTTAAAGGGGTTCAAATGTAAGCTGTTGTAATTGCATACATAAGTCTATAGTATGGTTTGAAAATAAAACAAAAACGTCAAAAAATAATTCATTTTGTGTTTGTATCAGCTTTTGTGTGATCTACTTTGACATTGTTTGGATGCATAGGTACAATTGTACCTGAGTTTTGTCATAATCCCTGTTAACTACAGAAGAAATCATGAATGTATAAGAATGTGTGATAGTTGAGGAAGAAGGAGTGTCTGTGTTTTACAAGTATGAAACGACCTCCAATTTGTACTTGCGTCATAGAAAATCATATAAAAATCGCAAGTGTGAAGTGATACTTCTCCCCCAAATTTGGCAAGATAGTCTACAGTATGAATAGAGAGCATATCTGTGATGGTATAATATGAGAAAAGGATTGTGAAGATACATAACTATTGCGGAACAAAGAGAAAAAAACACTTGTATCTTCTATAGGAAACAATGCACCTCCATTTCTCCCTCTCACTCTCCTTTCCCCCTGCCATTGTACCCAAATAGGATATTATCAGGCTTATAATAATAATAATAAAAATAATGCATGTAAATTAAAATTCCTAATGAGCTCGTACCCATCCCAATGATAAGTGCCTCATCACAATAATCATTCAACTACATTTAAAAATTCCAGGGATTTCACTTGTTATCATATCTCTCCTTCATATAACTCATATACATTCACTATTCCAAAGTAAAATTTGTAATATTTTAGATTGCCCAAATCTCACACAACCAAATCAAATTTCATTTTGACTCATTTTCATGGTTGTCCCAGCAATCAAGGAAACCACAAATATAGAGCCTTTTGTATGGATATGCTCAGCAAGGAGATACTGAATCACTAGAGCAATTATCCACTCACACAAGAATCTGAACATTTGTTTAACTTGTAAATCAGTCATCTTTATTTAAAAAATCCCACATCTGTGTAGGTAGCGTGAGCAGCAATGCATACTGTAACACTCTCATGAAGTCAGAGTGTTTGTGTGTAAACCAAAGGGATATCTTAGAAGTTTTAATGTGGTTTTAATCTACGTCACAATCCACTGACCAAATTGCCAATTTGAAATATGCACATATTTAGTGATCTCATTCCAAACATTCATACTTCTCTTATTTTTGGTCTGATTTATTCAAAACTTTCACCATTCTGTTCATCTTATTTATCTGCTTTCATAAAATGAACTTATTACAAGGGTTGGATTGCGCTTTACGATGAAATAAAGAATAAATGTCTTACCGAAGGATGTTAGTGCAGAGCTGGGATTCGAACCCTCAACCCTTGAATTGAGGGTCAAGTGAACGAACCACTACACCATGACACCTTCAAATACACTGTTATTCATACGAGATGCAGCAAATGCTGCTCAACACCACATTAATCCTTAGCACTGGAGGATGAAAAGATGATTGTTGGACATTTTTATAACCATGTAAACAACTTTAAATAAATCCTCTTGATACAGCAGCTCTGACTGAATTACATGGAAAGCTCAGAATGCTAAGCATATTTTGGGGTATCTCCAAAGGGAAAATAAAAGTTGAAAGCAGTTTTTGTGAATGAGAGCAAGAAATAAGAGAAATCAATAAGCAGACTTTTTAGAACATCCAAAAAATACATGTATATAAAGATATAAGATACGGCATCTTAGAGTGAGCTGAAGGCAAGAGTACAAATCCCACAAAATGGAATTCATCCACATAATTTGATGGTCTCTTGAGAATATTTGGCATACAGAGGGAAAAGTAGGCGTAGTCTGCACAAAGTTTCTAGTCTACCCCTCAGGTATAGAATAAACAGACGAACTGGAATATGGTAGAGGTGAGAAAATCCAGTAGCTAGCAATGATAGCAAGAGTTGTCAGATCCATTCATTGCTGAATCTGGATCAGTCTTCAAAACTAGTCTGTCAAGCTGCTTCTCCTCCTCTGGACTGGTGTTCTTCATACTTGTCTGTTTGTCCTTTGCATTATCTGTATTTTGTATCCTCATGGCCTATCTTTGATGTTCTGCTCTTTCTTCCATTTCTTCTTTCCTCCTTTAGCTCTGGTGTTTCCTCTAGATTTAGTCTTGTCTGAGGGTTTTTTCAACGCAGCTGTAAGATCCAATTCTTCTGATAGTTTCTGTGATTTTGTCCTGAGAAGTAGAAATGGAAAGAGAAAAGAATGGAAGTTGATTCACTATCCCATTGAAAAAAAGACTATTTAATGGGTATCCCTTTATTTTTTCCCATAGTCATACTTGTACTCTGATATTGTATTCAAGTTAGTGTTTTTCTCCTCTTCATCTGTAATTATTTGTAACTTCAAACGGCTATATGCAGCCTATTAAAAAAAATATGTTGATCATAATAGCAGTCAAAGATGACTATTAATTAGCTTTTCAATATTTGTATCTGTTCCCACCCTCTCCCTTTCACTTTCCATCCTTCACTATTCTTGCTGTAATCCTTTGTTTCCAACTTACCCTTGAATAACATCAAGATCAGCATTGTCTAATGTGAACGTTTCCTCTTCTTCACTGTCTGATACATAAGCCTTGGACTTTCCTATAAAAGAAATAGAAGCAATAAATAATTATACTGGTTAAATACAGAAAATATGTAAAAAAACATGATTATTCATAAGCTTTCATTTTGCAGTGTTCCCAATACATGATAAATTAACAGCAATGTCCTATTTTTAAAGACCATAATCTTGTATTGTCTTAATTTTGAGCGCTTATTCATCAGGGATTAAAATGATTCAAGAAAATGGAAACAGATTAGATTAGACAAATAGAGCAAAGAGTAAACAAATTCATCATTCTAACTAACATTAACATCTAAAAGTCTTATTTTTAATATTCATATATAAAATGCAAATTTCCCAGCTATCTTGGACAACTAAATGAATACAATTTTCCTTCATACAATTATTTTTTTAAAATCTGAAAATAAACTTGTACAATTCAGCTTCTGGAAATAATTTACCATTATGAATAATCTGTGATGCAAATCCTCTTTACCTTTTCTTTTGTCTTTAGCTTTAGGTTTTGTTACAATCATCTTCTTCTCCTCCTCCTCCTCCTCCTCCTCTTCATCTTCATCTTCTGATCCTATTGCTCCTTCCATCTCATCCTCCTCCTTACTGTTTCCATTCTCCTCCTCCTCCGCTTCGTCTGCATCACCATCATCAAGCCAAGAGTTTGTTAACCCGTCTCCTATCTGACCTAATCCAGGCTTTTTGATTTCTAGCTTGCTTGATCTGATGACAATGAGCAGGTTCAGGAAAGAGTTACAAATATTATCCATCAACAGCCATGTTACAAAGCCTTAATCATGGTGTTAAAAGAAGCTTTCAGTTGTGAAAACTCTACAAGTATGGACATCTAGAAAGAAAGTCCAATATGCAACGCAGGTATGGCTGTCCATATTGTGCCTTTCAAAAGTTGTGATGCCCTTCGAATCAAACAACAAAAATATTCAAAAAAACAAAGAGAGAGGGAATGAAAGGGACAGAGAGAAGGCACCATAAACAGGTGATAACATTTCCTCCTGCACTTTTTCCCTGTAGTACATTAGGGCCCACTCATTAGCTGGACTCAAGCTAGGACACTGATTCAGAGCTATAACTCCATGGGAGTGTTTCACAAAGACTAAGATCAACTTTAAGTTGTACTTAAATATGGCAGGCAGTTCATGCCACTGTTTGCTCTCACCATTTACTGGCATTTGGTTCTCTCAAGACATACAAATCATGGTCACAAATCCACAGAATTTGTATTTTTTGATAATTCATTATTGAAGGTAACAATATTATCTAAAGATCATAATGGTGAGAGCAAACAGTTGCATGAACGACTTGTCAGATTTAAGTCCAACTTAAAGGTAATACAAAGTTTTGGGAAATTTTGAAAATTGGTTGGATAGTGAATCTTTACAATTTTGATATATTTGGATGTTTTATAAGCACTGAAAAATTTAGCCCCTAAAACACTTCTGCTTTCGAGAAAAATTGAATATAAAAATTTACCAGTGCTTCCGGTAAATGTTGATAAATTTCAAATAGCGCCTACGGCCGTGCAATAGAAGCTGCGACCATGAGGATTTCAGAATATGTAGTTGTGATATATAATTTCCAAATGAGAATAGCTAATCGGTCAATTTTTTTTTCAAAAAACATTGTTTTATAGCTTAATTAATATATTGGCCTTGAGAGGGAGCTATACAACATTAAGAGTTTATTATTTATAATTTCATAACTTTAGACTCGATTTCAACCACGACAACAATCACTGAATATTGTAAGATCGCATATGCTTCCAATATGTTCATTTGAACCAAATTCATGACCCCATACCAAAACTTTGTATTACCTTTAAAGTCGATCTTAGTCTTAGTGAAACATTCCCCAAGAGTTTTATTTTTGTTAACATAAAGACCATTAGTGTCTCTCATAGCTCTATGAATATACAAGAACCATTCTCATTCAGGAGGCAATAAGTTAAGTGTACATGTGGTTACTGGTTACGATATTACAGTAACAACCAATTCATCAAATAGAGCAAGAAAGGTAGAAAAGGAATGTATTAAAGCATCACTGTACTACCTGTAGCTACTTGCTCCCTCTATATAGAAAACAATTCCTTATCGGTGACCATTGGTCCCCCGTGAGCCTCTTTTTCTTATGTTAATTGAGAGCTGAGTTAATGTCAGTGACCACCCTGGGTGGTCTAATCCCTCCTAGCCAAACTAGTACAGACGGTCTTTAAAGGATACACTTGTTCCGGAAGTTCAGCAGTCTCCATGATACGGCTGACTTCATCTTCTACATCCGATGTGTCGAGGGTCTGCTCAGGAATGACTTTACTTGTGATTGACTTCTTAGGATGGGACTCAGCAAAACCAAACTTCTTACCCTCCGCTCTGAATCAAAGAAATAGGCAACACCCTCATACATTAAACAACGAGAGCTTGCTCATGAGAATAATTTTGTTTTGTTAGGTATATCGACTTCTAGATCATTTTAGAGTAATCTTCTTACAAGAGTGGAACACAACAACACCTAACTGAATTAAAAACAAAATTATCATTGTTTCATTTCTCAGTATAAAATTTATTTCAAACTTTGCCACTGTGAAGAACCGTTTCAGTGATGCCAAAAATGCTTTCCTGTCAAAGATGTATCCGTTATACTCACCTCTTTTAGTCTTCAGTTGTGAATAGTCCAGTGCACTAATACTTAATAATATCTCACATAATTCAAGTCTACTTGTTCAATAAAAGATGACCATTTCTGTTTCTGCTTTAAATTAAAGAATCCAGTGACAATTTAACATAATTTGAATTCATAAACAAAGAAAAAATATTTTATGACTCTTAAATGCACTCTTACAAAAATTCCTTTACAAATTGCAAAAAAAAAGGGGTTTATTTCAGAGGAACAACAACTGACCTTGCTGTTTTATCTTTCTCTAGAGCTTGTTTGATGAGTTCTGTAAGCTCTGATACCTTCACCACACCAATCTGACAACATCGTATGATCTAGAGGTAGATGTCAAACAAGTTGATATATATTTCATTTAATTCCATTTCTTGAATCAAATATCAATGGATTTATCATAAAAACCTGTACAAAAATGTAACTGCTATCAGCATTTCACCTCCTTGAAAGTTATCTTTCTTTCAATTGTTACTTAAATATCCAATGTATTAAAAATGCAGCACTTAGCTACAGTAGATTATTTTAATTACTTAAAAGTAGAAATGGCAAAAGATGAACAGAAGCACAAATTACTATGAATTCACTAGTAAATGTACATTCACCACAAAAAACTTTATTCTGAATTATTTCCAAATTATAATCAATCAATATTTCCAAGTACATTTGCTGATTCGTCTATTACAGTAACAAGTTGCATCTTGTTAGATTTAATAGCTTTATCACTACACATAGCATACATATACTCATGTATCAAATTGTCACTTTATACAGTAGACTAGTACACTGATAAAGACAGGATAATAAACAATACCCCTCACTCCCCCCCCCCCCCTCCCCATATCCTGTTTCTAATCATTAGAGGTCTTCTACTTTGTGTAGACTATTGCATGTACAGAGGATCAACCAAAGCTTAGACAGGAATCTATCACTGGCACTCATTGTGAACGTTCTAGCAAGATAGTACGAGAGAAAACCTGTAGGTCCCGTGACCAATCTCTGGGAACAAAGGTTTGAAAGTGTTTTTGTGTTCCCTGATGAATACCGAACATTTTTGACTTGGCTGCCCCCTTGAAAATCCCAGGCATTTTCGTGAGGGGTCAACAAAGGTTACACAGGGATAGAAATTCAAATAGTTCCAATCGTGTCAATATGCATATCAAATTACTCGTCTGGTCATAAGGATTCCAAAAATGTATAGGTTGTTATACCTCCGACCTTAAATGAGGTCCTACTAAGATGTACGGACAGGTTTAATTGGTAAGCTCAATGGTCCAGGATATAGAGGTGTTAATAGAGGAAACTTTTGTTTTGGCAACTATTGTATGGGCATTGTAAATAATGATACTCTGTTGTACACACATTTTATTACCAGAGGTTTGTAATACGATGAATGGATGTAAAATATCTGATAATTCATAAACTGTTATAAGAACAGCTGAACAATTTTAAAATGACTTGGTTTGAATTTTTCACAACAGTCCCCTATCAGTAGTCTATCTGATAAAAATAGTTTGATTTCGAGGGGTCAGTGACACAAAGACGTAACTCTATTTTGAGAAAAAAGTTGTTTAAAGATCGAGGTCCAATTGGGCCTTAATGAGTTAAGTCTATGTTTCACTAGCCATTGGCTTCAATGAGGTGTGGGGTGGAGTTAAGTATTTTTGTTTCCTGGAAAGCCCACATTTTTCTGAACATCTTGATATCAAATACTCATTTAGGCAAAATTTGGAGTTATGTCTTTGTGTCACTGAACCCTCGATTTATAAGTTGAAGGATATTGATCTTACCTGCTCTTTGAGTATGAGCATACTACCAGTGACCTGCATCGTACATAACTCTCTGTGAACGTTCATACCAACAACCATCGTTCCCTCCATCACCTTCTCTTCCTTCTCGGTTGGATCTACAAGTAACCTCTTCCTACAAAATAGAACAAGAGCAGATATATTACGAGTGCTTTAAATCCCTCTGAGATCTACCAGAAACCTTTTTGTACAGAACATTATTACAACATAATATAAGAAGTGCTTCTCTTTCTCTTTAAAACAGAAATGGACCAATTTTGTATAAAACTTACCAAGTCAAAATATACCTTAAAACTTACCCTTTGTGATAGAATGCAAAGGTAACACAAACAGGTATATGATGAACATTGAGAGGTACAGGGTCTCTGTCTTGTGGTGAGTGCTGTAAGAAAACAAAAAATACCAGGTAAAGAGTGGCATTAGTAAATGCTTCCTACAAAAATAAGACTTTTTACAGTGGAATAAACATGATTTGATTTATAATATGGGTGAATAGGTATTGTTCTATAATCAAGTAATTGTGGTTTAAATACAAATCAAATTGTAAATATGAATTAGTGAGGTTCAGGGCTAAAAGACAGGGAAAGGGGGGAGGGGGTGGTGGAGGTTGTCTTAACCTACTATTTCTTGGGTCACCCTTGTGTTTATACTTGATATTACCAATGTGGGCTAGCACCGTATTTACTATTATACTACAGTACCTGGCCCTGGACAACATACAGGGTTAGCCAAGCATTGGTGACGTTATCCTATCATAGGGTTACCCTTGGGTAATCTTGTGTAAAGAAAAAAACATTGTTTATTCAAGAACAGTCTGGGTGTCACAAGATAAGGATCAAGGATACAAGTGTGAACTACCCCACCCCCCCCCCCCCCCCCCCCCCCCCCCCCCGATGATTGGTATAGAGCAAACAATAAACCTGGCTAAGGGAATACTGGACAAAGTATTCAAGGGTTACAGCATATATGTTTCAACTTTGAAATGCAGATCAACAAATTAAGCATGACACTTCAACTGAGAAGGGCCAACATTCATTAAAAAACTTAAATATTTAAATATGTAGTCTTGTAAAATTTATGAATCTAAGACTTACTATGGTGACGCTCTCTCCAATTACAGTCACATCTGGTCTTCTGAAGTGTGATAGAGCTGCTAAGGCAGCTATGCAAGCTGAGTCTAATATGTTACCATCATGATTCAAAACGTGTACATCTAGTCTTATCTTCCAAACCTAAAAAAGATGTGTTATAGGAAAAGAAATATTTAGAATGCAATGTATACACAACAATAATAATAACAAAGGAATTTTATATTTGAAACTAATAAATAGGAATAAGGTGATTAAACTTTCATAACATCCCTTGTTGACAAGTCATTCCTTCCTCATTCTTTAATTAAACAAGAAGAACAATCAGAATTTCCAACATAATACTCAATTTAATCTAGAGTAACATTTGGTTGCAAGCCTTGTATTGCTTCCTAATTCACATTCATAAAATTTAGCTATCCGTCTAATGGCTGATTTTTTTAGTAACCTTTTCAATTTCTACAACACACGTTTCTCCTAGTGATTCCATCTTGAGCTATCAGCTTCATTTATATAGGCATGTTAAGATTACTTAAAGGGATCTGGTAACTTTGTCTTAGATCCTTTAGAAATAATACTTGATTTAGCTCATGCTGCAATGATAATTATAAACCTTTAGGTCAGTCAGGATCAGGAACTCCATGACTTTTACAAGCCGATCGCCTGTCTGATTATCAAGATATTAATGATTGGAATTAACGGTTTTCATAACACTACAGTCTATTGGGGAAAACGAGTATGGTAAAACCGGTCACTCAAGATTTTTAATCTTTTGAGGCACTTCTTCATCATTTTGAAGCACGATTTTTTTTTTAGAGCTTCAATATTATACCATATCACAGTCACTGGTAACATGTAGGACCGTGTATTTCAGATTTAACATTGTTAAACGATCCCTTTAATTATAAACTTATAAAAGTAAAGACTTCAAGCATAATTCCTTGATGATTGGAGCATAGTAAAGAATATATACACAATAATATCCATACAATTGATTTAAAAGATAATATTGGAATAAAAGGGATAAAGGTGGGAATGTCCAAGAATAAATTGAAAGACTTTACTACATAACATGTATTGGAACTAACCTTTTCACCAGCAACAATGCACAATGATTCCACATCCACTGCTCTTGAATCTTTGACAGTCCTCTCAAGTAATCTGTTTAGCTCAATTCCATAATCAGATAGTCTGAAAGTTGATAAGAAGGAATAGCAGGAGATTAATACATTGCTTTCCCATCAAGACCTTTATATTTTGTGTACCTTAAACATTCAAATTAACAACACTGATTACTACATACTGGGCAATTCCACGGTAACGGAAGGACACTCAGACAAGATTTTTGAACTTCAGGTTCATACTAAAAGAAATGTTTTATTAGTATGTATTAAACTATGGGGAACAAAATGTGTTTCAGTCAAGTGGAAAGCTTCATCAACTTCACAAAGTTTGGATAAACACTAATTAACTGGAAAAACCATGTCCATTTTTATGTCCTTCCGTTACCGAGATAATTAATATGCACATTCTTAAACTACTTAACTATAATGACAGTTTTTTTGGGGAGAATTAAAGGCACTTATATAGGTATTATATCTGTACTGTTTCACATCTTATACTAATAAAACAGTTCTTTTAGTATGAACCTGAAGTTCAAAAATCTTGTCTGAGTGTCCTTCCGTTACCGTGGAATTGCCCTACTAATAGATTAATGAAGTACAATTAACAAATTTCTCCCTGAGAAAACAAAGCAATAAACCTACTTATAGTTATAACACATGACAAGGTGAATATTCATCAGTACATGTCTTCTTCCTCTTCTGTTACACTGTGGTAAATTGAAAAAATAAAAAAATAAAACATGTATATTTATTGAATTAATGTTCTGTAATTTCTTTCCTGTTCCTAGCTTTACAAAGGGGTGTAAAACTGAAAAATTATTATTATTATTAAAAATATAAAAATAATAATAATAATTTTGTTTATTTAAAAAAAAAAAAAAAATTAAAAATTTTTAAAATACTTTTTTAAATCAAAAATTCTTTATTTGTAATAATGCACACGAAACCACATCATTTCAATCTATAGTAGTTTGATTACAAAAACAAAAAAAACACAATACAGCAGGTCTGCAAATAACCAAAAGCTCATAATTCTTACCTCCCTGCTTCAAAGGTGGTTGATGCCATAGGTGAGAGTTCAAGGTTCACGAAGAGTTGACCTTCGTTTGGTCTGTTTTCCTTGGGTTCAACAACTTCACATGATACCTGGGCTAAAATCCTGCATTGATAGCAAAAAGGAAAAGTAGACTTGTACATTCTAAAAATCTGTGAAAACAGTTAAATCTAATTTAAGGTCTTTAGTTTATATCAATGGTGCAACCCACTGTAATAACTTTGAATTACAGTATGTCGCCTCAGTTATCACTTCATTTTGTTTAATGGATTCCCAAACCATATGCAATCTAAGAATCAAAATCACCATAAATTCTTTTGAAACTTTAAGTTATCTAATCTGCCTAAAATTTCAAAAAGTCATGGGCTTAAAGGCCCACTGCACTACTTGTAGCTACTTGCGCCCTCTTACAACAACCAATGCCTAATCGGTGACCATTGGTCCCCCATGATCCTCTTTTTCTTATGTTAACTGAGAGCTGAGTTGATGAGATAACCACCTGTCCAGTGACCTTGCAGGGCGCTCTAATCCCTCCTGTAAACTATGGCAGATAAGCTTTAATGCACATTCTTAACAACAGATAGACTCATTGCATATCAAATTCATGTGTGAATCTTGTTATTTGTAATTCTTCTTGCTAAAAATTGAACTTTGGTTTAGAACGAGATACTATCTGAATTACCTTGTGTCACCCATATGCACCATACAGCATCCCCTCTCTACACCAAACTCTATCTTGGTTCTTCTGTAGTCGTATGGTTGCCTGCCATCAAGTCTCTAATTCAAAGAAGAACAAAAAAGAAGAGAATGATCAAAGAAATAAGAATAAGACACAAATTAGTCCCAATTCATCACACAAATTTAGACAATTTCTAATATAAGTTTCCATCTTCCATTCCACTCATGCATGTATGATATCAGGAATAACCTTACAGGCTTACACCATAGACCTCATCCTGGTCACTATTTTTCGATGCGAAAAATGGATTCTGCGTGATAACCCTAGTTCACCGAGAGTCTGTGACCGTCTAATTTTATGGGTTCTTCTTCTTCTTCTTCTTCAAGATAATCTGCCTCCTTCAATACTGAAGATTCTTGCAGATGCCGTATACTCGGCCTGATTGGGGTGTGCAGGTGGACCATTACACCGAGGTTTCCCCCTACTCTTATACGAAAAGTGCAATGGGTTCTTAACGTGCAAGGGTGGTGACTCTCCTGTACACGGGGCCTCCATTTAACGTCGTATCCGAGGGACGGAGTGTTTTCCACTTGACATAACCTGCGTCTATGAACAAGGGAAGGGGCACGTTAACACACAACGCAGACTTCAGTCATCCGCCTTGGTGGGAGTCGAACCCGGGATCTTTAGGTAGATAGGCAGATGCTTTACCAACTGAGCCAACTCGCCTCCTGTCCGTCTTCCTAATTCTCTGTACAAAGTCAATGTAAAATGCATCAAGAAAATCATAGCGAATTTTTTCGCTGAGTTTTTTCGCATCGCCAACTCAACGTGCCGATCGAAATATGAAACATCTGCTAAAATGCGGACGATCCTTATTTTTTGAGGACGCGTTAACGAATATGATCCTCGTTTATGCAGAAAATCCTTATTCTCTGACCAGCGCCCCTACTCTTTTACCTACTGGGCAGTCACAGAGCTGATCGAGTGCAGTGCATATGCAACGGCAACGCAATTACGCTCACAACGTCAACAGAAAAAATAATTCAATGGATAATCTACAGTCGTAAGAAAAGCAGAATATAAATGTTGACAATGTTCTCCATTTGTTGTAAACAGACCACCAACATAACCAAGAAAATGCTCATATAAGTTATTACTAGTCTAGACTCTAGACTTTCTAGTTCTATGAATGATTACACACCAGGCTAACACCGATCTGAACAGATGGGACTTAATAAAATGATCTGCTTAATATATGAGCGATTTGTACGTCATTAGGGTATACCTTTGATTCCTCGATCGCTTTCAGAATAAAGTCTTCTTCTAAATTTGATAATGCTGTCATGGCGGTAACACAGTATTTCAAGAAATGCAAATAAAAAGCAACGACATCACTCTCACGTGCGCTGTCGGACGAGTAAATACAATCCCCCTATCAAAACTGAAGAAGTCGACTACTTTTAGTTGAGAGAGCTATCTATGGTGTGGTCTAGAAGAGAAAAAGAAAAAAAGAAGTAAATAAATCAAGAAAGTAAGAAAAATAGGTAGATAAATAGATATATTAGATAGACAGAAAGAATAAAAGAAATTAAAAACCCAGCGAGAAAGAACGAGAAATGTGAAAAAATATGTTAGGACATGTTGTTGAAAAGCATTGCCTGGATTTGGATGTACTGACGATTAAAAAAAGGGGACACAGAAAAGAAAAATGTCAGCAATACCGGTACGTGCGCATGCCAGTTAGGCATACCAAAGGGTTAATTAATATTGGCTAAACAGAAGATGGTAAAAAGTAGGCCACAATTTTGTTGTGATTTGTAGTGACCCTACCCGATCCCCAGTAACTGACTGAGGATAGAACCGGTGGAGGGGGGGGGGGGTGGCCATAAACTAAAACCGAGCATAAAACTTTAAACAAAAACTGATACCCGCCTACCCTGAAGCACAAGAAGCTTTATCACTGCCCTGTGTAGGAGGCAGGTGCGTGCGCAGGGGGGGGGGGGGGGGGGTCAAATTTTGTGTGTGTTTGTGTTCTGGAAGAAGAAAAAAAACTTCAATTTTTTAAATAATTTACCCCCCCCCCCCAAAAAAAAAGTGGTAAAAAAAGGGTGACCCCCAAAAAGGTGACCTTACCCCCCCCCCCTCCTTTTCAGGACAAAAATAAATAAATAAATGTGCTCTTACATCCCCCCCCCCTCGCTTATTCAGCGGCTGACTGAGTCGTTGCGAAATTTTCGGCGCGATTTTCAAATTTTAAACACCTCCTTCGAAAAAATCCTGCGTACGCGCCTGTTAGGAGGTACAGGAGCACATGCATATCTCCACGCAAAATCCAAATCCACATAATATGTGTGCCATGCTCCGGCAAAAAACTTATTACTTTAGTTTTTAAAACTGAAATAACAGAAATGTTGATGAGAAAATAAACTAATATGGTTAAAAATTTCAAATTTGTGTGCAAAAAAATGAAACAAAGTTCCGATAACCCTTAAACGAGTGACAGAAATGTCAGCTGGATTGAAAAATGTTCCTTAGAAACTTGTGTCCCCAAAGGGCAGAAGGTAATCCGTCGGGGCGAGCTTAGCTCAACATGACAGTCACAAAGTCGAGTGTCTCTCCAAACAGGTAAAGATGTTCAATAAGTGTGATTATATTAACCCAACAATATCAGTCAAGATTACCTGTGAGCAGGCGGGTACGCAGGGGGGGGGGGGGGGGCAAGGGTGTCGATTTGTATCCGTGGTTGGGGGGATGATAGGTGCCAAAATATTTTCGGCAATGAATCAAAGCAATCAAGAGGTAGAAGAGTGTGGCCGGGTTGCACCCCTCCCAAAGGGCGTAGCCAGGAGTCACAAAGCGCGCAAATGGGGTTGGGTGCAGGGAGGGCCCTCCCCTGCGAAGCGCGGAAGCGTTGACGTTTCATTTACTTATTAGAGAAAGAAGGCGATACGTTGGACCGTTCTCGACTCTTAATCCTTGTTTGAATCAAGTTCCCATTCCTCCGCGCATAGCGTGGAAGCTCTGACGTTTCATTAAAATATTGAAGAAAGAAGACGATTTCATGTACCATTCTCGACTCTTAATCCTTAATGTTTGAATCAAGTTCCCCTTCCTCCGCGCGTAGCGCGGAGGCTCTGACGTTTCATTAGATTATTAAAGAAAGAAGACGATTCGATGTACCATTCTCGACTCCTAATCCTTGTGTGAATTCAGTTTACCCCCTCCTGCGCGAAGCGCGGAAGCTTTGACGTTTCATTTAATTATTAGAAAAAGAATACGATTCGTTGTATCGTGTCCTTGTCTGATTGCAATTCGCTCCCGCCCTCCCGCGCAGAAGCTTTGACGTTTCAATAAATTATTACTCTTAATCCTTGTCTGTATTCATTTTCGACCATCTAGCGCTAAGCGCGGAAGCTTTATCGCTTCATTAAATTATTAGAGAAGGAAGACGATTCGTCGTATCGTGTTCTTGTCTGAATTCAGTTTTTCCCCTCCCGCGCGACGCGCCGAAGCTTTATCGCTTCATTAAATTATTAGAGAAGGAAGACGATTCGTCGTATCGTGTCCTTGTCTGAAACAGAAATTGCAACAGAAATGGAGAAACGCGAATTTTGTTAAAAATCATGTGATATCACGAACATTTATAAATCACTTGTATGAAATACGCCAGTGACATAGGCCTACATCAGCTTTTCAATAAAACAAAAATAAGTTGTGACATAATAATCTTTCTCCAAAAATGAATTTTTTAAAGGAAATATCAGGAAATAAAATGAGTGAAAAAATAAAAATAAAGATACAATGACGTGAATTTTATAAAGGGTGAACGGAAACAACATAACCAACTAGTGAACTATCTTATAAGTCATACTAATGTCCGAAAATCTGTCTCCTTGTCTCCGATCTCATCACGAATTTGTCACAGAGTTCATCTATGCTTACACTGTCCAGGATTGTCTGGTGTTGCAGATTGCTACTTTTGCGCTTCGCGCTTAACATTTAGCTCGTTGCTTTTTAACGCTGCGTCTTGCATCTGGCGCACTGCATTTCTATGATGCTGTTGATTGAACAAAGTGAATAAATTCATAAATTCCTGATGAAGCCGTATGAACGAGAATTCAATTTATTCTTGTCTCATATACGGTTGTCACATTTACTTCGTATATATGTATGTATTTTGAAAATAAGATAACAAAATGTGTATATTGACGGTCATCTTGCGAGTAATAACCATCAACTACTCTCATCGGGCTCTCATCATTAGGCCAAATAAAAAAAAAAACATGTTTAGCGTCCTGTTTTTTTGAAAAATAGGAAGGAGGAGGCCCTTTTTATTTTTTATTTTTTATTTCAAAATGGCCGCTCAAAATGGCCGCTCGGTATACATTTTCCCTGACAGTCGAGGCTATTTTTTTTCAAGATGACCGCCGACAATTTTTTTTTTTTAAGTCAGAAATAGAGCCATTTTAGCAGTGTTTTTCATGTTTTTTTTTCTTTCAAAAAAAAAAAATACAAAAAAAATTTCAAAAAAAATTCAAAAAAATTCAACAAAAAAAAAATCAAAAATTTCAACAAATTTTTAAAAAAAAAAATAGGAGGCGGCCCCCGAAAAGGAAGCGGGCGGGGACGCTAAGCATGTATATTTTTTTAAATGGCCTTAATTTTTTTTTTTTTTTTTTTTTTTGAGGGTGAATTATTGGGGGGGGGGATAATTGTACAGGCCATCCCCCCCACCTGAAATATTGGGGGGGGGGGGGGGAATATACCCCCCCATCCCCTCCCCGGGATCGACACCCATGGGGGGGGGGGTTAAACCCCCCCTCCATTAATTTTTTGTTAATGTGTGTGTTTTTGAAGAAACCCCCCCCCCCTTCGTTTTTTTTATATTTAAAAAAAAAATAAAACTAAACTAAAATTTAAACGGTGACCTAAAGAAGGTGACCTTACCCACCCACGCCCCCCCCCCAACAGAACGAAATGTTGATCGGTAAAATTTTCAAATTTCGGGACCCCCCCCAAAAAATATATGTCCTCTTACCCCCCCCCCCCCCCCGCTTATTCATCGGCTGGCTGAGGCGTTGCGAATTTTTCGGCCCGATTTGAATTGTTAACCCCCCCTCCCCTTTGAACAAATCCTGCGTATGCGCCTGTTTGTGAGAGAGGACATTTTCACAAGTTTAATGATGATCACTTTCCACCGAAATACACCTATAAGAAACCATTGCTGGATATTGCATAGGTATTATGTCAGAGGCAGCGGAGCGAATTCCAAAGTAGGGGGGGGGCACCAACAAAAAGGGCACTTTCAAATGGAAATCTCAAAGCGAAAATATACAAGTTTTTAAATATTGGTATATACCCCTATAAATATTATTATTACATTATCAGGGATGATTTCAATATTTGTTTCTTTGTATACATCATATAAGATATAGCTTAAGCATCGGTGTGAAGGTATGAAAATTCATTTACGAGCGAGGAAAAATTTTAAGATTTGTGAGGTCGCAGTGTGAAAAATTACATCTTATAAAGAGGAAAAACCCAATCCTGATGAGGTTAAAAGCACATTCTCATAACGGAAGATTGAAAAGACCTTTGATTAGTAACACTTTATGTGAACGAGCTTTGGATGAAAATTCTCTTAGTCGCTTGAAATTAGAGGCACGTTTAATGATGAGAGGAAAAGGGGCACTTATCGCATCTGAGAAGGAGCACTGACCATATAAAAACGGGGCACTAATAATAAAGGATAATGTGCATTTGTTGAAATAAAAGGGGCACCGATCAGATTTTAATAGGGGCATTTATCGGAGGTGAAAGGGGGCTTTTCTGAGAAGGGGAAGTGGCTGTTATTAAACAGAAAAAGAGGCACATGTTAAAATAAACGGGGCACTTGTCAGAGGTGAAAAGGGGTAATTATGAGAAGGGGAAGGGACACTTAAAAGAAGGAAAAAGAGCATTTATTAGGAAGGAAAGGGGGACGTGTCAAAATAACAGGGGCATTTATTAGAGATGAAAAGAGCACTTATCAGGAGAGGAAGGGGCACTTTCAAATTGAAACGGGTATCTCTCAGAATTGAATAGGGTCATTTACAAGAGATGAAAAGGGGCATTTATGAGAAGTGGAAGGATATTTTTTTTAACGGGGCACTTGTTATAAGGAAAGGGGGCGAATGGGAAAATATAAGGTGCGCTTATTCAAGTTAAAACTAGTTATTAAACAGGGAAGGGGCACTTCTTACAAGGCAAAAGGGGCACTTGTCAAAGAAAAAGGGGGAACCTCTCAGATTTGAATAGGGTAATTAGGCTTTCAAAGGTGAAGAGGGCGCTTATCGAAAGTGAAAAGGGGCGCTTCTTCACGGTACCTCTTTGAAAACCAACTCTTGTTGAAAGGGCTCATCCATCCCAAGTTGAAAATAAATCAATAACAAAATAATGTAATCATTGAGATCTCC